TCCGGTCAAGGGCATGTTCATTGGTTGCGGGCACATCCCCGGTAGCGGGTGTGTAGGAGGCAGCTGGTCGATGTTTCTCTCTCATCGATGTTTCTAGCTCTCTGTCTCCCTTCCTCTCTGTAAAATATCAATAAAATATATATTAAAAAAAATAATTTACCCAGCAAAGCTATCACTCAGAATTGAAGGCCAGATAAAGAGCTTCACTAATAAAAAAAAGCTAAAGGAGTTTATCACCGCCAAACCAGAATTATATGAATTGCTGAAGGGTATTCTTTCGGAAGAGAAAGAAAATAAAGATAAAAATTATGAACAAATACATAACTATCAACAAGTGAATCTAAAAACCAAGGGAATTAAAAAACCTGATGAACAATATTAACTGTTGAATATAATAGAATTAGAGGTAAGGAAAGGGAGTGGACTGACAATTCTTGGGGAAAAGAGGAAGAGGGGGGCTCGGGAAGAGACTGAACATAAACTATGCACCTATGGATGAGGACAATGGGAGGTGCGGAAAGGGCAGAAGGTGGGGTGGGAACCTGGTGGAAGGGAAAAAAATGAGGAACTTTTGTAATAATATGAACAATAAAGATTTATTTTTAAAAAAAGAAAGAAAAAAGAAATTGCACCATAGAGTCCAACTCCCTTACTCTTTAGGATCTGCGAAACAGGCAAGGCCAGCCCAGGTTTTAATTTTGTTAAATTATCATGAACCAAGTAAGGCCTGGGCAGAGCATACCGCTTACACCGACGGCCCAGTGAGGACTGACACAGACAGATCGCCCAGAGAGGACTGACACAGACAGACGGCCCAGCGAGGGCTGTGACACAGACACACGGCCCAGAGAGGACTGACAGACAGACAGCCCAGCGAGGGCTATGACACAGACGGCCCAGAGAGGACTGACACAGACAGACGGCCCAGCGAGGGCTGTGACACAGACAGACGGCCCAGTGAGGGCTGACACAGACAGACGGCCCAGTGAGGACTGAGACACAGACAGACGGCCCAGTGAGGACTGAGACACAGACAGACGGCCCAGAGAGGACTGACACAGACAGACGGCCCAGTGAGGGTTGTGACACAGACAGACGGCCCAGAGAGGACTGACACAGACAGACGGCCCTTCGAGGGCTGTAACACAGAAGATGGCCCAGCGAGGACTGACACAGACAGACGGCCCAGAGAGGACTGACACAGACAGACGGCCCAGTGAGGGTTGTGACACAGACAGACGGCCCAGAGAGGACTGACACAGACAGACGGCCCAGCGAGGGCTGTGACACAGACAGACGGCCCAGTGAGGGCTGACACAGACAGACGGCCCAGTGAGGACTGAGACACAGACAGACGGCCCAGTGAGGACTGAGACACAGACAGACGGCCCAGAGAGGCCTGACACAGACAGACGGCCCAGAAGGGTTGACACAGACAGACGGCCCAGAAGGGCTGACACAGACAGACGGCCCTTCGAGGACTGACACAGACAGACGGCCCAGAGAGGACTGACACAGACAGACGGCCCAGAGAGGCCTGACACAGACAGACGGCCCTTCGAGGACTGACACAGACGGCCCAGAAGGGCTGACACAGACAGACGGCCCTTCGAGGACTGACACAGACAGACGGCCCAGAAGGGCTGACACAGACAGACGGCCCAGAAGGGCTGACACAGACAGACGGCCCTTCGAGGACTGACACAGACGGCCCAGAAGGGCTGACACAGACAGACGGCCCTTCGAGGACTGACACAGACAGACGGCCCAGAAGGGCTGACACAGACAGACGGCCCAGCAAGGACTGACACAGACAGACGGCCCAGCGAGGACTGACACAGACAGACGGCCCAGTGAGGACTGACACAGACAGACGGCCCAGTGAGGACTGACACAGACAGACGGCCCAGAAGGACTGACACAGACAGACGGCCCAGCGAGGACTGACACAGACAGACAGCCCAGAAGGGTTGACACAGACAGACGGCCCAGAAGGGCTGACACAGACAGATGGCCCAGAAGGGCTGACACAGACAGACGGCCCTTCGAGGACTGACACAGACAGACGGCCCAGAAGGGCTGACACAGACAGACGGCCTAGAGAGGACTGACACAGACAGACGGCCCAGAAGGGCTGACACAGACAGACGGCCCAGAGAGGCCTGACACAGACAGACGGCCCTTCGAGGACTGACACAGACGGCCCAGAAGGGCTGACACAGACAGACGGCCCTTCGAGGACTGACACAGACAGACGGCCCAGAAGGGCTGACACAGACAGACGGCCCAGAAGGGCTGACACAGACAGACGGCCCTTCGAGGACTGACACAGACGGCCCAGAAGGGCTGACACAGACAGACGGCCCTTCGAGGACTGACACAGACAGACGGCCCAGAAGGGCTGACACAGACAGACGGCCCAGCAAGGACTGACACAGACAGACGGCCCAGCGAGGACTGACACAGACAGACGGCCCAGTGAGGACTGACACAGACAGACGGCCCAGTGAGGACTGACACAGACAGACGGCCCAGAAGGACTGACACAGACAGACGGCCCAGCGAGGACTGACACAGACAGACAGCCCAGAAGGGTTGACACAGACAGACGGCCCAGAAGGGCTGACACAGACAGATGGCCCAGAAGGGCTGACACAGACAGACGGCCCTTCGAGGACTGACACAGACAGACGGCCCAGAAGGGCTGACACAGACAGACGGCCTAGAGAGGACTGACACAGACAGACGGCCCAGAAGGGCTGACACAGACAGACGGCCCAGAAGGGCTGACACAGACAGACGGCCCTTCGAGGACTGACACAGACAGACGGCCTAGAGAGGACTGACACAGACAGACGGCCCAGAGAGGACTGACACAGACAGACGGCCCAGTGAGGGCTGTGACACAGACAGACGGCCCAGTGAGGGCTGTAACACAGACAGTCAGCCCAACGAGGGCTGTGACAGACAGACGGCCCAGAAGGGCTGACACAGCCCAGAGAGACGCCTGCAGGAGGGAGAGGGACATCCTGTACTTATGGAGCTGTCGGTGTTCTTGTACGAAGCCTGGTTGGTCTAACCTGGAGCAGTGAGTCTAAGAGGATTGAAGGCAGCGTGTCCCACCTGTGGATCACGCCGTGTGCTGCTGGTGGAGGATTTCCTGGCTGAAGGAGCTAAGAACCTTCTGGCATTCTCACATCCATCATGGAGAGTGGACGGCTGGGTTCGTGTTCTCACTCACAGCGCTCTGCATTTGTGAGTGCATGTGAACATCAGGTCAGAGGGCGGGCTGTAGTCCTGCGGTTTTCCTCCGGGAGTCTGCCCCCCCAGCCACAGAACGTGGGCGGGTGGGGGGGTGAGGCTGGGGAAGTCAGCCTGCACGCCTGTGGTGGTGAGGAAGCGGGCCTCAGGCTCTGGCGCGGGGTCTGTGGGTGGGGTTTAGCCGTGTGGTTGTGACCCCGCTTCCCTCCGTGGAGTCTCGGGCTAAATCAGGCCATTGGAATAAATACATTTCAGATGAAAACTCTAAAAATGTATGGTTCTCTGTATTTTTATTTAGAACAAGGCATGATTTGATTTGAAATCTTTCCTTAAAGCAAATGTATTCTCTTCAGTTACACCTGGACTCTTGCCAACCTCTGCTCCCGCTGGAACAGTCATGCCGGGAGCAGGGGGCAGTGGCATTCTGGTGTGAGCCAGCCGAGAGCACTGGCACAGCTCGGCACAGCTCCGCCTCCTCACCTGGGAGGGCGGCCGGGGGGCAGCCCTGGGACAGCAGTTGTGGCTCTGGGCTGGCTCCAGGTCTCTGTTAGAGGCCGCTTGGTGACGAGGAGCAGGAATTCACCCGGAGGGGCGGGGCTTCTTCCCAGGTGGCCCGCGTTGGATTGGGCCTTAACCACGTTTATGGTGGTGTGGCCCCTTGGCAATGTGGGAGGTTTGTTCGCCCCCAAATTTTAAATGGGTGCTCTTGACCCAGCAGTTTTACTTATAAGAAGGAATATTCTGCAAATGCTCTGAAGTATGCACACACGTGACTTCCGTTACTTATTATAAACAGAAAACTACTTCTGGCAGAAAATGACTCCTGCCGACTGAACAAGCCACAGTGGCCTTACCTATTGCCCACCCACTGGTGGGAAAGTGTTTTCTTTGTGTCTTTGCAAGGAGGAAAGGATATATGTTTAAAGATTACCAAGTTGAAGGGATGCGCATAAAGTACATTTATTCCAGAGGGTGGCATTGGTGTAGAGAGGGGAGTATTTGGTGCACTTCCATAGTTTTAATATTTTCCTACAACACTATAACTTTGAAATTTAAAAGCATGCTATTTTAGGAGAACGAAAGGAACCTAAGCCAGAGAATTTGGAGGGTTCTACCCCAAACCAGGGGCCTGTAGGCCCTGGAGCAGCAGCACCTCCAGGGCACCCAGGGTGTGAGCGAGCTCCTGAGGAGCCGAGTCCAGCTGGGAGGGGTGGGTCTGTGCGGGCAGACCCTGGCTGGTCACCACGCTTCCTGGGACGTGGCTCAGAGCCGTCTCCAGTCCCTGGTGACCCGGAGCCTGAGGAACCGCTGTCCGCACAGCCCAGCTCCCTGCTGGCCTGGGCTCGCGAGGCCGCCTCTGGCCACGGGCACGTCTGTCCGGAGTGGGAGGAGCCTCGGGCAGGCGGGTGCGCATCCCTCTGCGGCCTGTGGCCGTCCCCAGAGCTGAGACATCCCTGCACCCTCCTCCCCCTCTCCGCCCTCACTCTGAGGAGCTGATCGGAGAGGGTCCCAGCAGCCGCTGAGATGCGTCCGGAGTGAGTGATGGGGTGAAGACGCGGTGTCCTCGGGGTCTGGTGGCAGAGGCGTGCAGGCAAGAGAGGAACATATAGATTATTATAGAGACTGACCGCCAGGAAGGGGCGGTTCTGACAGTTTTAAACACTTTATTATAATAATGTTTAAATAAAAGCCTACATGAGTGTGGTGCACACCCTTAGCCACCTCGTTTCCTCTCACAGAGTGACTGGCGGTGAGCTGTTCGAAGACATCGTGGCCAGAGAGTACTACAGCGAGGCCGACGCCAGGTGAGTGGCCCCTGCGCCGCCCGCTCCGCGGCGCCACGGGCGCCTGGGACGCTCTCCTCGGCGGTGGCTTTTCTCTGCGGCGTTTCCAGGATGATTCTCTGGGGGAAAATCTATGAATCTGGTCTAAACTTTATTCTTATCTAGTGTCTGTAGTTAGAGTGTGCATTTTATTTTATATTTTTTTATCTTCTTTATTGATTAAGGCATTTTATTTTTTAAAGCCTCACTAGCTGGGACCAGTTTGGCTCAGTGGATAGAGCGTCGGCCTGCAAGACTGAAAGGTCCCGGGTTCGATTCCAGTCAAGGGCATGCACCTTGGTTGCAAGCACATCCCCAGTAGGGGGTGTGCAAGAAGCAGCTGATTGATGATTCTCTCTCATCGATGTTTCTAACTCTCTATCCCTCTTCCTCTCTGTGAAAAATCAATAAAATATATTTTTTTAAAAATAAATAAAGCCTCACTAGAATGGCTTCTGCTGAAGAAATATATTAATACCTTTTCAGCAGATGAGAGAGATGGAAGACTGGCACCCTCTGCTCTCCAGGTCCCAGATGCCCAGTGTGCCTAGTCACAGTTCATTAAAATTAATTAAAATTAAAAGCTCAGTGCCTGGGTCGCACTGAACACATCTCAAGGGCCAGGGGCTACGATTGGCAGCAGGTCCGAGAACCGGCCTCGGAGCAGCCCACAGTGTCACCCAGAGAAAGGTCACGGTCAGCTGGGCGTGTCCTCACGCCCTGGGGGCCCTCATTTGGAAAATACTCGTCCGCTATGTCAGAGTGTTCAAGAGGACCTTCCCATCTTGTCACTGACCACTTTGTCTCACTGGAAAGTGCCAGCCGCACGGAGGTGAGCAGTGAGCAGCAGCCGCTGGCACTTCCCGCGAGCAGCCTGGCGGAGCCGGAGCGCGGCTCCCTGTGAGCACGGGAACGACGCCACCCGCTGCCCGGCGCGGTGGCTGGCTCCCCAGAAGCGGCTGCGCACTCCCTAGGCCACATGTGTCAAACACAAGGCCAAATCCGTCCCGCCAGGCCTTGCAATGTGGCCCGCACCGCGCTGTCATCACTGCACTCCGCTGCGTTTCCATCACAATGACAGTTTATGACTGTTCAGTAAACCATTCGGCCCGCGATTTAGGCTGGATTTTAGATTTTGGCCCCTTCTCTGATTGAGTTTGACACCCCTACCTAGGCCGTGCAGATGCCACGGCTGGCTGTGTCCACCCGGCACGGCAGCTCTGCTTCTAGGGCTTATGTGAGCGCTCGTGCGCTACGGGAGCAGCCGATGTGCGATCGGAAAATGCCGGCCACGTTACATAAAGGCTTTGTCACCACCACAGGGCCCCGGGGTACTGGGTAGCCCAGGGTAGTGGGCCACTGTGCGCATGCTCCCCTGGCATTGGCGCTCCCAGGGGCGTTTCTAGGGGGTCCACACGAAGTCAAGGGAAGGCACTCTCCCCAGCCACAAGCCTCAGAGCTGTTCAGCTCACTGGCGGCGTGTTCGGTCCTCAGGAGCTCAGGTCCTGCCGTGCTCAGCAGGAAGCACGGGGAGGCTGTTCAGTGTGGGTTCCTGTTGGCTTCCTTCTTTTCTGTGGCTCACCAGGCCCCAGAACCAGTACCGTGGTTTGAGGAGAGAAAGTGAGTTTCCCAAAAAGTAGCATAAAGTGAGCGTTATTTTAGAAGGAAAACAAGCCCCAGGATTTAGGAAAAGTTGTCAGAACCAAACGAGCCTTGGTACAGGTAGCCAGCCTGATGGTCACTGCAGGCGCCAGCCCTGCCGGCTGGGCACTGCGCTGGATACACCAGGTGGCCGCTGTCCACCAGCTCACCCTGCGCCGCTCTGTCCTCCCTGAGCTCGGACACTGCGGGCGGGGCCCACGTCACGCTGGACGGTTGGGTGGCAGGGACGAAGAGCCGCAGTGGGGGGCCTCCTAACTGAAGAGCGTTTGCCAGCAGGGAGCAGGGCCTGAGAGAGGGCACGCCCTGTGCGTCTCCACAGGTGACACGCTTAGCCTGCTCCAGGGCTTCCGTTGTAGTTTACCCCTCAGCTCGTAGCCCTGCCCCAGAAGCTGCCCGACTGCCGAGGGGTCCTCCTTTTCTGTGGACCCATCAGTTTTCCTCCGACACGTCAGACCCGAAGCAGCACTGCCTTGTCAGACGGTAGTTGTGCCCCAGGTCCGACCCTCTAACCTGCCGCTCCTTCCTGCTCCCCGGGCCTCCTGGGAACAGGTGTGAGAGACACCAGCCGTGTCCCCGAGGAGGCTCCCACGTCATATGGGAAGCGGGACACAGTCTCCTCCAGGAACCCGCCTTCCGGCAGCAGTGGCCTCGCTCGCAGGCGGGGTCCAGGGAACGCAGCCCAACATGCCACAGAGCCCGAGCTGGGACCAGAATTGCCTCTATCCAGCATCGTTCAACCCCAGTGTCCAGCTGGGAATTGGGAAGAGTGTGATTTTGTGTGTGTGTGTGTGTGTGTGTGTGTAACTGTCCGGCCGTCGGCACTCGGGCCTCCAGCACCCCTCTGCCTGTGTCTCCACAGCCACTGCATCCAGCAGATCCTGGAGAGCGTGAGCCACTGCCACCTCAACGGCATCGTGCACAGGGACCTGAAGGTCAGTGCACCGCTGCCCTGCCTCTGGTTGGAGGAGTGTGTGGTTTCCGGGAAAGAGCCCAGGGCAGGCATTCACATGGTTCCCTCTTGCTCCCAGCTTTCTGCCCAACTGACTGCTGTGAAATGATGCTCCCTAAGGGCAGGATGGTGCAGGACATGCCTGCTCCTATCCAAGCAGTGCACCAGGGGCGGGGCTGCACCAGGGGCGGGGCTGCACCAGGGGGCGGGGCTGCACCAGGGGCGGGGCAGCACCAGGGGGCGGGGCTGCACCAGGGGCGGGGCTGCACCATGGAGCAGAGTAGCACCAGGGGGCGGGGCTGCACCAGGGGCAGGGCTGCACCACGGGGGCGGGGCTGCACCAGGGGGCGGGGCTGCACCACGGGGGCGGGGCTGCACCAGGGGGCAGAGTAGCACCAGGGGGTGGGGCAGCACCAGGGGGCAGAGTAGCACCAGGGGGCGGGGCAGCACCAGGGGGCGGGGCTGCACCAGGGGGCGGGGCTGCACCAGGGGGCAGAGTAGCACCAGGGGCAGGGCTGCACCAGGGGCGGGGCTGCACCAGGGGACAGGGCCGATGGGGGGGGGGTATGCCTTCCCCTAACCCAGTGCTTGCCTGGAGGCCTGGGCCTATGATGGGTGCCATCCTCAGACTGAACATCACCTCTGTCCTGAGACCCGTGGGCCGTGGGGGCACCCTGCCGGTGGCTCCCCCAGGCCCTCAGCCTGGACAGGAAGTGCTCCCACGGGCAGGCAGAGCCAGGCTTTTTCAGAATGCATTGGTGTCCGAGTTTCACTCCAGGTGCCCTGTGCTTTGACAGCCTCCAAGCGGGACCAGGAAATGGAAAGAATGGGGAACCACTTGAGGGAGCACAACAGCTGTAAGATTTTGTGTCCTAATCTATTTCCTGGACTAAATGAAACATCTTTGAGGTGGATTTTTCTAGAACACGCGGGCCCACGCAGGCACACGTCTGGCAGGATCCTGCTTGTCCCGAAGCAGTGGTCACTGTGCGGGAGCAATGTCTGCTTCCGGGAAGGTGTGACACCGCCGCTGTCCACCAGGCAGGGCGGCTCCTGAGTGTGCCAGGGGCCGACGCTGGCCCTGGTGTCGGCACAGTCACTGCACTCACTGCCCAGCCGCCCCCTGCCTCCGATGGGCGTGGCCCGGGGCATGAAGGTGAGTGGTGCTTAGACTGTGGACTGCAGTCCTGTCTGCGGCAGATCCACTGGAGAACGTGGGCTCGTTCCCGCTCGGGATGAAACGAGTTCCTCGCTGGCTGAGACTTCGGCTCCGTGTCTCAGAGAAACGACTTCCTGAACCTGAGCAGGAGAGCCTCCGGCGGGCCGGCGAGCAGCGCGAGGCACTCCGTCAGCCTGGACTCGTCTGTGGACACGGACAGACACGGGCCAGGCCGGGGGCCCAATAGTGAGGAGACGTTCCCGGGTGACAGAGCCGGAGGCAGTCACAAGTAGCCCACGCGAGGGAAATGGTTTCCCCTGCTTCCTCAGTGCCTCCCGGGACAGCCGGCGCCTGTGAGGCAAAGACAGTGGGCACGTGTTCTGGCCCAATAGGGCTTATGGAGCATGCGCACATGCTGACGTGTAGAATGTCACTCAGCTCCTCCACTTCGTACCACGGACCAGGACAAGTGGAGGTTTGGAAAGCGACGGGAGGAGAGTTCTCAGCACCCCGGCTGTGCCTGTGCCGTTCAGAGGTGTGACGGCGAGAAATGGCAATGAAGCAGACGTGGGCAGAAGCTTCTGTGCGTGTGAGCGCCGCGGGTGCGGTGTGGGTCTTCCCTGGAAACCTCTGCTGGCCAGGCGTTCGACCTGGGGCAGCGGCCGAGCGGCTGTGTGTCTGCTGGGCCCCTGGGTTTCTCATGGGCAGACCTCTAGTTAGAATCGACTATAAATTCCTCGTATGTCCTGGAAGAATATTCTTTAAAGATCCACAGCGCGTTACTTGAAGATGAGATTTGTAAGCAAAACACTGCTTTCATTTCCAGAACCTTCCTTGACCTGTTTGCATCTGAGAGCATTCAGTGTTGAAAGGCGTGGTCAGTGGTGTTTCCTTCGGACTGCACGCTTGGACTGCACGTCCACTAGCCCTGAGCATCGGAATAAGGGGAACAGCACATTCCTTTGAAAATTCGTTTTTCCTGGTGATCTTGTTCCTTCCATAGCACACAGACAGCCCTTTTTGTTCCTCGTCAGAACCCAAAACTCTTCTTTTCCAGCAAACATCCAGGACGTGCACGTTTTATGTGATGTATCGGTGCTCGGTGTAATAAGCAGTCATTTGGAATCTTACTCTGTGTGGAAAGCCATGGCCTGAGAGCCAAGGATGGAAAGTGTGACTTCTCTCCCAGGACCTTGGTCGTGCGTTTTCTGGGATGGTGATGTGGATGTTTGTCGGTGTCCAAGCTCAGCTGAGCCCTTTGCGGACGGGAGCATGCGTCAGCGCTGGCGGCAAGTGAGCTGTGCGCATAGCTGCTCTCTGACCTGCGGGCTGAAGTCAGAGTTAGAGGCTCAGGCAGGGCCTTCGGGTCGGCGCGCTGCCCAGCAGTACCGCTTCCCACCAAGCCGGGAGGTGCAGCATCGCCCCACGTGGCTCTTGTGGGGACAAGTTTCTGCTCCATTCTCCTTGAGGGAGGGGACGGGTGAGCTTCAGGGAGCTCCCCCTGTTTCTGCCAGGCTGCTCCCTTGGAGGCCGCTCAGCCCCGGCCCCTGCGTGTTCCCGGGCTCGCCATCGCCTTGGGCGGCATCCACGTGCCGCCCCTAAGAACGGGAGAGGGGACAGCTGGACTCCTCTGCCTGGCTCCACACTGAGTGCTGCCCTGGCTGTTCTCAGGCCCGGCTCCTGGGCTGGTTCAGGGACCACGCAGACGTGTGAGCACAGCTCAGCCATCCACCTCCGTCAGAGAGAAGCCGAGTGTTGCTGTTCATCATCAAAGGCCCAGCTGGGTGTGTGGGGTGCTATCTCAGCCCTCGGGGGGCACTGCTGCGGCTCGGGGGCCGCAGGGCCGGGTGCAGAGCTGAGTGCACCTCGAGAAGGTGCTGCAGGAGCCTAGCAAAAGCAGCGCTAAGGGAAGGCGGTTGTTCGCACGTCACTGAGTACTGAATAGAGAAGACGAGTGTCTCTGATACAGTCACACCTGCAGGACACTCACGAGGGCTGCTAGGCGATGGGCACCTGGTGCAGAGCCCCAGGACTGCAGACAATGCAGAGGCATCCAGCAGTGAGCAGGAGGGGCAGGTGGGGGTGGGAATTAGGGCAGGATGGGTAGGTGGGTGGATGGTGGGTAGGTGGGTGGTGGGTGTGGGATGGGTAGTTGGATGGTGGGTGGATGGGTGGTGGGTGAATGGATGGATGGTGGGTGGTAGGTGTGGGATGGATGGGTAGAAGGGTGGGTGGATGGTTGGTGGATGTGGGATGGATGGATTGATAGATGATATAGAGAGACAAAGAGATGTTAATGAAGGTAGTAATTCTGGATTTAGGAGGATTTTAAGTACTATTTCATGGGGGTGGGGGGAAAAGTCATGAGCCGAAAAGAGAGAAATTCATCCTTTGGGGTGAACGTGAGACATAGTGAATTCTTGTCTACATGGTAGTACATATATCAAGTTATGAGTTCTACACTGTGAACAAATCTAAAATCACAATTCCACTTTTCTGAGAACCACACGTAGATAAAACTTTAAAGAATGTATTTGTGCATTATGTTTGTCCAGGTCAGTGGTCGGCAAATTCGTTAGTCTAAAGAGCCAAATATCAACATACGATGTTTGAAATTTCTTTTGAGAGCCGAAAACCGCCTTCTGCGCATGGGCCACGAAGTTTCAATCGCACTGTATGTGCCTACCCGCACATGGTATTTTGTGGAAGAGCCGCACTCAAAGGGCCAAAGAGCCACCTGTGGCTCTCAAGCTGCAGTTTGCTGACCACTGGTCTAGGTATTTTAGGAACAAGATGTGTGTGTGATAAATCCCATAATCCATTTAGTCACTCCGCTTTTTGCCATTAAGTATCTATGAGCCAGGCCAGGGCAGCACTGGGCTAGCCAGTCAGGGAACAGCAGTGCCGGCCTCACCCGCATGTGCTGATGGGAGCAGACGTCTAATTGCACGCTGTCATCACGTGCTGCTGCTGGGAGCTCCCTGCGCCGAGTACACAAATACATAAACCCATCCCCTGGAAAATGAAAACAGCTCGTGTGCTACGTACATGGGAGACCCCAAAAATACCCTGTGTAAACTGGTCCAACTCTTGGTATCATTTTGCCACATTCTCTTCTGCTAAGTGTCTGCTCTGCAGGCTCGGAGCCACTGCCTGTGGCCCGGCTGGACCACGCATGCCCTGGGAGTGGGCAGCATTCTCCCTCCTGCCCAGGGTCTGTCCAGCGCGTCCGTCTGACCCGACCATGGCAGGTCATCCTTTCCAGCAGCATCCACCTGGGTCAGGCACAGCTGCCTGAGAGGACAGTGCGTGCTGGCTGCTCCCTGATCACAGAACACGTTAGTCCAGTCACTCACGATGGGTCCCGTCTTTCTCCTCCTTCCTACCCAAGCCGGAGAATTTGCTGTTGGCCAGCAAGTCCAAGGGCGCGGCCGTGAAGCTGGCGGACTTCGGCCTCGCCATCGAGGTTCAAGGGGACCAGCAGGCGTGGTTCGGTGAGTAGCCCTCCCGTCTCCACCCACTCCTGACGAGGACTGTGGAAACATGGGCTGCCAGACTGAGCCTTCCTGGCACTGCAGGGCGTCAGTCAGGGACTCTGCTGAGCGAGGAGGGGCCCAGAGTGTGACAGACGCCACTCGGAGCCCCCGAGCTTCCCTTGTGAGGAAAGGGGTGCCACGCCAGCCTCACTTGAGGCTGAGACGATGCTAGTTCAGGGGATCTTGCAGAGCGCTCCCAGGTCTGTGATCAGTAAGTGGAAATTTTAAAAAATAGTTAAAAGAACACGTACATAGACACAGAGTTCCATCTTAAGCATCCTTTCTCTAGAAGGCCAGTTTCCTCTTTAAAATTGTGATAATTGTGACCTTTCTATACGATGAAGTCCTGTTTACCTCCAATGAAGGAGGAGGTGGTGGTAACCAGCGTAGATGGCAGCGTTTCTGCCAGCCGGGACCGCCTCGGCGGCCGCCTGCACAGCTCCTTTGCACTGACGTCCGCGCCTGCTGGCACGTACGGCGCCTCGGTCTCCTTCCCTTCCTGACGCTCAGCGGCGGCGATGAGAGCATTTCAGATGCCCTTTGCTTCTAGTCCTTTTCTTTGAACAGCTGTCAGCGGGCACACCCTGCAGTCTCCCCCCGTCCACACAGACGGGCCTGTGCCCGAAACACGCCCACCTCCTGGCCGTGCCCAGAGCCTGCTGCCCGTCCCTCGCCTGCCTGCGGGTGATGGTGGACGGCATGGCGGCCTCCCGGCGACTGGGGTCCTCACTTCCTACTGCTGCCCTTGTCCTGTGTCCGTGGGCCAGACCGGCTCTAGTCTGCGGCCTCTCCCATGCCGTATGCCTCCCCCCGCAGTCCTCCCGCCTGCCGCTTGTCCCTGTAGGACAGATGGAGGTGGAGCCTGGGACTCGTTCTGTAAGCGTGAGACTCAGACTCCTGGTGTTGGGTGAGAGCTGGCTGACAGGGACGGAGAACACAGCCTGGCGGGTCTGGCAGCAGGCTGGGCACACACAGCAGGGCCTGTGCCAGAGGAGCTGGGTGAGGAGCTGACGGGGCGGCCTCAGCGCTGGGCACACTCAGCCGTCCTGAAGGAGGGGGCTTTGTTCCGTGGCAAGACGCTAAGGGTGTCCGGGCACGGGCTTGGCCGGGGGGGGGGGGGGGGGGGGGCGGGGAGAGGGAGAAGGGGCTGAAGTGCAGCGCCCGGGGTCGGTGGAGGCAGGAGGGAGCCTGTCCCAGTGCAGGGGCCGCTTGCCCTGGCTTCGGGATGTGTGAGAAGCTGCAGGCGGAGCGGGGCGTGCGGCGCTGTGCGGCAGGTGGTTGGCAGTGGGTGGGGGTGCCTCCTGCCAGGGGGGACATGGCCTGCCGGTGTGAGGACGGCGTGAATGGGGTGGGAGGGGCGCAAGCAGGTTCCCTTCCTCGGTAGCACACGGCTCTGAGCTCCAGGAACCTTGCCGGGGCCTGGCGGGTTCTGTCGAGAACAGAGCGGGACCCTCCAGAGGCCGGGGGTGGGGGTGAGGGGGAGCAGTATTAGAGGAGGATAGACGGGCCCTCGTGGCCAGAGCCATGGCGGAGTTGGCACCAGCGTCTGGCCTGAGTGCCAGGGGCCCAGGAGGCAGGTGGGCTGTGTGGGCGGGCTGGCTCTTCTGAGTCAGGACCCGAGCCTTTCACCCCGCTCCACCCGCAGCTTCTCACAGCCCCGAGGCCAGCCCAACAGCAGCCCCTGCAGCAGGACAGCTCCTCCTGCCTCCCCCGCTGCTCCTGGAGCCACGTCCTGGGCAGCGCTCCAGCTCCTGGGCAGTGTCTGCGTGAGGAGGGGGTGTGCTGAGCCGGGAGCTGGGAGCTGGGAGCACTCTAGGGGTGGACACCCCTCACTCGCTCTCTTGGGCGCACAGAAGGCGAGTCGGCAGGCAGGCCGGTGAGCCCCAGTGTGAGCTGCAGTCACTCACTGGCAGCAGCTGGTCCCTGGCAGCTGGGTGCCCATTAGAGAAGCGACTTTTCATAAAAGTGCACATTTCTAACATGTGGACCCTCATTGCTAAGCTTAGGTACATGTGAGTTCTCGTGCAGCCAAGGGGAGGCATGGGGTGGCTGGGCACGTGGGCCCCGGGTCCTGGGCCCGGGAGGCAGGACCTGGCTAGCGCCCACTGCTCCTCTGTGTCTGCTCAGCGTCTGCCTTCAGCGCCCACGTGTCTGACCCGTGTCACCTGGTAAAAGGTGGTGTCAGTGGGGTGGGCTTTTCACCTTCATGAGAGGAGAACAGAGCTTGCTTTGTCGTGTGTAATGCCAGGGCTTCGGGCTTTTACATAATTTTACTTGAGAAGAGAAAGGGTCTGGGCTGGGGGAAGCCAGGGGAAGTGGCAGGTGCGGAAGATGCGGAACGCAGGCGAGGTTAGTGGGTTTGTTCCATAGACTCCTCAGCATCGCTCCGCATTCCTGGTGCCGTGGGGACCCCTCCTCTGGGTGCAGGGGACTCTGCAAGGAACTGGGGGCTGCTGATGGGCCCAGGGGAGGCAGGGGCCCTCGCCGTGTGCGTGGTGCGTCCTCGCCCTCACAGGGAGCATTAGCCCCACATACCGGGGGCTACTCGGGGGCCGCAGAGGCTCATGTCGGGTCCCGCTGGCTGGTCCCACGCCCCCGGGCGGCAGGTCAGCGTGCACAGCCTGGGAGAGACGCTGTCTTCCTGCCTGAGGCCAGCTCACCGGACACACCGCTGACATCAGAAAGTTCCCTCGCCGCCTCCACCTCCCATTGCCTCGCCCGCCTGCCCACTCCCTGGCTCTGCCCGCAGGTTTCGCTGGCACGCCCGGGTACCTGTCTCCAGAAGTGCTGCGGAAGGACCCCTACGGGAAGCCGGTGGACATGTGGGCCTGCGGTAAGACTCCCCGCAGTCTGGTGCAGCAGAGCTGATAGGCCTAGATCGGACCTTCTCCATCTGCACCGAGGGACCCGGAGGGCGGGCAGGCCCTGCTTCTGTCTCTGACGCAGGAGCCTGTTCCCGTTCCCAGGAGAGGCTTGGGGTGCTGGTCTGAGTGGCACTGAGGTGAGGGGTGTGGCGGCCTGGGGAGCCTGCTGGGCCTGTCCCCTCAGCAGCTCGCGGAGCCTGGGTTTGCAGAGTGCTCCTGTTTGGGAAGAGGCGGGTGCCGCTTGCAGAAGGAGCTGGCTGTCCCGTGGGTCCGGGCGCGTGTGCAGCAGTCTCTCCAGGAGCTCACTGCCCTGGGAGAGGCTGGCAGGAAGCGGGACAGGCGCTCTGAGTCTGGTCCTGTGGGGCCATGGACACAGTCCCCTCTGGGCTGTGCACGGCTCCCGCTGCCTGGATGGCTGGCACAGCTTCGATTCTTAAAGCCCTTCCCTAAGGTGCTGTAAGGTGGGCTGTCCCACGCTCACTTCCTATGGCCTTGTCAGTGGCAGCACCATGTACCTGTCGTTTAACCGGGAGGTCCCACGTTGGTCAGTCTTTGCTGGGCACCTGCCACCCCACCCATCCTGCCTCAGTGGCTGCCCCGCTGTGAACGGGAGGGTGGTGCCCCATGGAATTATGTGCAGGCATAGGGCGCACTTTACATCCAGGTAATTTATAGTCTGCAAAGCGACTGACATGCAAATAGCGGATACTCCGAAAGGCTGGGATGTCCGCTGGCGTGGTGAGAGCCTAGGTGTGCGACCGGCCTGCCTGCCCCTCTGAGCGGCTCCTCAGCCTGGCCCAGGGCCCTGGGGCGAGCATGTCCGACACCCTCACTCCCTTCTACGTGTTAATGGCAATCTTGGCTTTGCAGTAAGTCAGCCCCCCAAGCTCTGCTTCTGCTACTGAGCTTAACAGGCGGGCACTGAGGGGTATTGTGGCGGGAGCGGGTGTGTGGCTGCCCTCGAATCCTCAACACTGGAGGGAGGCCCGGTGGTGCAGACTGGGCGGGGACCCGGGGCCAGACCTCCCGTCCTCCCCCTCGTGTCCCTCCTGTAGCGCGTGCTCGGTGGGACCCTGGGCCTCCTGGGCCACCTGCACTCTGTAGTGAGACCGAGACCGCAGGAGCGAGGCTTCCTGCCCTCGCAGACTGGCCACACTCCCGGGCCTGCTGTCAGGCGTGAGGTTATCCCCGCCCCATCGCTCAACTCGCAGCCTAACGAGGGCAGAGTGACCAGAGAGACAGTCACACAAACACGGACACTGCACAGAGCAAGTGCGGGAGCTCGGAGGCCTCAGCTCAGGGGCCGGCCGGCTCTGCCATGGCCGCAGTCCTGGTGCTGACGCCGGGACCGTGCTCGTGAGATCCCCTCCCCCAGCGCCTCCGAGCACACCCTCGGCCTGCGAGGGCTCAGCAACCCATCCCCTCTGCCCGCGGGGTCCAGGGCCGGCCACGGAAGCTCTCCGTGGCTGCCACCTAATGCTGTTCCCGCTCGTCCCTGCAGGCGTCATCCTCTACATCCTGCTGGTGGGGTACCCCCCGTTCTGGGACGAGGACCAGCACAGACTCTACCAGCAGATCAAGGCCGGAGCTTACGACGTACGTGGGGGCTGGGCTGCATGGGGCGCTCTCGGAGGGCAGCGCCCGCCGCCTCCACCTCACGCAGGTCACCCACAGGCTCCGTGGTCGTCCTCACAAGGAAGCGCGTGTCCTCAGCCCACATCTGCTGAGAGCGAGGGGAAAGGAGCTCCAGGTCTCTGAGGCAGGACGTCTGGTCAGAATGTTTGCTCTCGGTGCATTTTAACAGCTGAAGGTGGAAACGTTGCTTTTGAAAGGATTCCCACCTGTGGGTTTTAATACCATCCCCCAGCCTGCCGTCACCTCCCACCGTGGCAGCGCCCCTCCTCCCCTCCCCGCGCCTCCTGGGCTCGCCGCCTGGACTGGGCGGCTGCCAAAGCACTGGAGAGGCTGTTGAGGATGAGAAGTTTGTATGGCCCCCACACCCGTGGTTAGCTCCGAATCGGACGAGTAAGCCACATCTGTTTTCCTTTCTTTTTTTAATGTTTTTATTGACTTCAGAGAGGAAAGGAGAGGGTGAAATGGAAACATCCATGATGAGAGAGGATCATTGATCGGCTGCCTCCTGCACACCCCACCCTGGGGATCAAGCCCACATCCCGGGCATGTGCCCTGACTGAAATCACACCATGACCTCCTGGTTCTTAGGTCAAAGCTCAGCCACTGAGCCTCGCTGGCCAGGCGGATTGTAAACTCTTAACCCTTCACTGAGAGTATTTTTGCTAAATGTGCTAATTATGTGAGTGAGGTTGCGTAACTATCAACAAAAATTTCACTTAAAGAAACAGGGTAACTGCTTCGCTGTGAAGTCCCCGGTGAAGCGATTCCTGAGGGGAGTCAGGGAGGTGATCCTTCCAGGACCGGCTCTGGGGAGGTTCCTGGCGAGGGGCAGCCTTCGGAAGGGCCGGCAGGCGGCCCGCGCAGCCCGGACGTGTCAGCCGGCAGCCCTGTCCCGCCGGGACCGGCCCAGCACAGCGGCACGAGGGCGTCCGTACCTGGGGCAGCTCTCCGCTCTGTGCGTTAGTGACTTTTGTAAACAATTAGCGTTGCATAGAATTTCACTCTCAGTCAAAGCGAAACTCTGTGAGAGGACTAACAGAGTCTCAGAATTGTCTGGGCTGAGGACGTGTGGACCAGAAGTGCCGTGCAGCTGAGTGAGTGTGCCCAGCAGCGCCTCTCTGAGAGACGGGGAGGCTTGGTGCTTCCTCCTCTGTCTGTCGTCCAGACGGTTCCGCTCAGACAGTGTGACCCTGCCCGCGGGAATGATTCTGCTGCTGCTGCTGCTGGCTGTTCCACAGAGGGCTCTGCTTCTAACTAAGTTTATGCCTTGAAGTTTCCATCACCAGAGTGGGACACGGTGACACCCGAAGCCAAAGACCTCATCAACCGAATGCTGACCATCAATCCCGCCAAGCGCATCACCGCGTCCGAGGCGCTGAAGCACCCGTGGATCTGCGTGAGTGGCTCCGCCCGCCGGTGGCAGGGAGGAAAGGCCTGCCTTAGTTCTCAGGGGCTTAAAGTACTTTTTGCAGGAAAAGAGGAGATGGATTGAATTTTTACTCCAGGTTCTTAAGGAAGTTAATTTCCTGGCTACAAACACATTTTGGGTAGCAGAATGGTTTACATCCATGGCCAATCCGCATTGCCACTGTCACTCGGCGAGGTCCGCCTCCCCATTGCTAGTAGCGTTCACGAGCAGGAGTAAGGAAAGGACACGGGCCACACTACCTCCTAGGAGGAAGGGGCCCACGCCCAGGACTCCGACAGGCAGCTTTAGGGGACCAGCTCTGCAGCGGAGAGGTTGTCCACGCGGAGAGAGGCCGCCGGAGGCCGGGCAGAGCTGTACGCGTTCTGAGAACACAGCCTGAGCACTGCGGGTGGATCGCTGTCACGCCTGGGGGTGGGGGTCAGACGTCAGGGGCCGACTGCGTTGCTGAGTCAGGAGAGGCAGGCCTGTGGGGTCCGATGAGCCTCGTGTTGAAGGGAGTTAACAGCTGGCATGCGTGCGGCTGGTGTGGGGAGCTCGGTGGGAGCCCTGGGTGACGTCCCTCTCTCCCACAGCAACGCTCCACGGTGGCCTCCATGATGCACAGGCAGGAGACGGTGGACTGCCTGAAGAAGTTCAACGCACGGAGGAAGCTCAAGGTGCGAGGGGCGTTCCTGGGGGCCAGCCCAGGGGGGGGGGTAGGGGGGGGTTGTAAGGGGGGTTGTGACCTGAACAGAGTGCTGTGGTCCCCCTCGGGACCTGTCTCAGGGTTTGGGGTGCTGGGGCTCACGGGAAGGGACCGTGGCAGAGCACTAGGGCTGTGACCACGTGTGCCTGCCCCTCCTGGCCGAGGAAGCGCTGCCGGGGCCTGGGGCACCGCGCACCGCCCCTGCCCGGAGCTGCTGCCTGGGAAGCCGACAGGGACTAACGGCCGATGGCCGGTCGGGCTGGGAGGCCGTCGGCCTGTGTGTTGGGTCAGAGGTTGCAGAGCGCTATTGACCCGTCTTCTCCCTGGCAGGGCGCCATCCTGACCACCATGCTGGCCACCAGGAACTTCTCAGGTGCGTGGGGAGGACCTGGTCCTTGTCTTCTGTTATCCTCTTCAGGTGTCTCTTTGGAACTGAAAAATAATAATAATTAGGAACACGCTGTTATTCAGGGATGGTGAATAACACAGGCTCACAGGCTCCCCACACTGTGGTGTGCCGGGGTTCAGGCAGGTGAGCCCCACAAAGGTGCGGCCGCCCGTCAGCCGATGCAGGACACAGGCCTGTTCCCTGTCCTGCTCAGCACCTGCACCTCGGACACGTCAGCTGATGTCCCATAAAGTTCACAATGAAGGAGTTGGTATCACATTCCATAGGACCAGAATCGGCAAACTGCGGCTCTCGAGCCACATGCGGCTCTTCGGCCCCTTGAGTGTGGCTCTTCCACAAAATATCATGGCCTGGGCAAGTGTATTTTGAAGAAGTGGTGTTAGAAGAAGTTTAAGTTTAAAAAAATTATCTCTCAAAAGAAATTTCAGTCATTGCACTGTTGGCTCTGCTGATTAAGGAGTTTGCCGACCACTGCCATAGGGAATTCTAGTAAGCAAGACTTTTAAAAGACCACTTGGGAGCCTGGCTCTCTGAGGCCTACCTCCTCCCAAAAGCACAGTGACCCTGGGTGCAGGCGGGCCGCTGGGGGGTGTGGGCTCGGTAGGTAGGTCCTGGGTGCAGGCGGGCTGCTGGTGGGTGTGGGCTCGGTAGGTAGGTCCTGGGTGCAGGCGGGCCGCTGGGGGGTGTGGGCTCGGTAGGTAGGTCCTGGGTGCAGGCGGGCCGCTGGGGGGTGTGGGCTCGGTAGAGCAGCTGCCCACGGGACCCTGCAGGATGGGATGGGCCTCAGGAGCCCGTGGGCGCAGGGAATGTGAGGAGCAGCTGAGCCTCGGTGTTTTAAAGCCCGAGAGCCCCTGCAGAGTGGTCCAGTGTCTGTTGTCTGCAGAAATGCTTGCATTTGGAGGCCCCTTCTTGACAGGTTATCTCAAAGGACCTAGTTTCCAAGTCCAATTTTTGCACCAGCTGGTCAGTCTGAAGTACAAGAGGCCGGCAGAGCAAGGAAGCTGCTCTTAGTCAGTCTCCTGTTTGGGCTTTGACCCATGGACCGCTGTCAAACGGCTGTCAGAAACGGGACCTGGAGAGGGTCTGCAGCGTCAGCAGGCCTGTCGGGGTCTCGCCCTCCGGTCCGCTCTGAGGGCCTGGCTCCACGGGGACGCTGTCCCACCGTGTGTGGGCAGGGAGCCAGCGGCCGTGAGAGCAGCCGGAGCTCGGGCCCGGGGTCAGCTGTGACAGCGGTCCCCTCTGCAGGTCGCTCTGCCAGTTCCTCCTCTTGAACAGCTGCCTCGTAGCTGCCCATCGGGGTGAGCTCAGTCCTCCTGGGAAGGTCGCCTGACGCGCACTGTATTCAGTAAACCACTCGCCGCTCTGGGCCCAGTGCGGAGCCGGTCGCTCTGCGTTAGGGGGCTGTGCAGTCTGCTGCGATGGCAGACTCCTCGGGGAACATTCGGAACAGGCTGTGTGTTTTGTTAAAGGCGCGACCGCGTTCAAGGCCATAATTGGGCCTTTTGACAATGCGCGCGCCCTGCAGCCGCCTCCGGCCTGCGGGCCTCTTCCTCAGGCGCCGGGCACGTGGCCAGTGTGGGTGCTGTCCTTCCTGGTTCCACGTGGGAGGCAGGCTCTTCAGAGCCCGCTGCTGACCTGAGGCCTCCCGGGTCCCAGCGTGGCCTGGCGCTGTGTCCATGGAGTATTTTATTCCGTCTCCTTGCCTAGCTGCCCTTACAGCGCGGCTTTGTGATTCCTTCTCTCCCTTAGGTGGGAGGAGCCATTGTGAGGCGAGTGCACAGGCCCAGGTCCCTTCCCGTCCTCTCTCTGCCGGCAGGCCGCTCTGCCCGCTGGGCCCCTCTGCCTTCTCTGCCCGCTGGGCCCCTCTGCCTTCTCTGCCCGCTGGGCCCCTCTGCCTTCTCTGCCCGCTGGGCTCCTCTGCCTTCTCTGCCCGCTGGGCCCCCTCTGCCCACTGGGCCCCTCTGTCCACTGGGCCGCTCTGCCCGCTGAGCCCTCTCTGCCCACTGGGCCCCCTCTGCCCGCTGGGCCCCTCTGCCTTCTCTGCCCGCTGGGCCACTCTGCCCGCTGGGCCCCTCTACCCGCTGGGCCCCTCTGCCTTCTCTGCCCGCTGGGCCCCTCTGCCTTCTCTGCCCGCTGGGCCCCTCTGCCCGCTGGGCCCTCTCTGCCCGCTGGGCCCCTCTGTCCACTGGGCCGCTCTGCCTGCTGGGCCCCTCTGCCTTCTCTGCCCGCTGGGCCCCTCTCCCTTCTCTGCCCGCTGGGCCCCTCTGCCCGCTGGGTTCCCTCTGCCCGCTGGGACCCCTCTGCCCGCTGGGCCCCTCTGCCTTCTCTGCCCACTGGGCCCCTCTGCCCGCTGGGCCGCTCTGCCTTCTCTGCTGGGCCGCTCTGCCTTCTCTGCCCGCTGGGCCCCCTCTGCCCGCTGGGCCCCTCTGCCCGCTGGGCCCCCTCTGCCCGCTGGGCCCCTCTGCCTGCTGGGCCGCTCTGCCCGCTGGGCCGCTCTGCCCTCTCTGCCCGCTGGGCCGCTCTGCCCGCTGGGCCCCCTCTGCCCGCTGGGCCGCCCTGCCCGCTGGGCCGCTCTGCCCTCTCTGCCCGCTGGGCCCCCCCGCCCGCTGGGCCCCCCTGCCCGCTGGGCCCCCCCCGTCCGCTAGCCCCCCCCCCCCGCCCACAGAGCCACCCCGCCCACTGGGCCCCCCTGCCCGCTGGACCCCCTGCCTGCAGCACATTTCCACCCACATGCTGCTCTCCCACCTGGAGGCTCAGGATTTGCTCATTGTTGCTCTTTACCTCTAGGCGAGTAGTATTGTCGCCAAGACAAGAATTTCTCACACTCTCAGTTACTAGTAAATCAGAGCCGTGTTGCTAAGGACTACATAAAATCAGGCTTTGTGTCTTAAATAAGTTTAAAATTTTGCCAAAGTACCGTGCCAAGGAAAAGAGATGTCAGGGAATTGGGCGTCCATGCGGTTCTGGTACACCAGGCGGTTCACTCCGACACCACGTTCTCGGCCGCGCACTGACCGTTCCGTGCTGGCCGCTTGGTCCCGCTGTCCGGCCCGCCCCCGCCGCTGGTGTCCGCGCCCAGTGCCGGCTGGGGCTCAGCAGCTGCCCGGAGCTGCCGCGGGACGCTGCTGGCTGTGGACCGCGTCCGGAGCCCTCGCTGAGTTGAAGGTTTTATTTATTCGTGTCTGACCTCAGGTTGTGTGATTTTTAACTTTTTGCTGTAAGTGGCTTTTGATTTTGAAGCCTTGTTATTCTGACTTTGAAGTAGAGAAGAATACCTAAGGGTTTAAAGTAGGTCAGCAATAGACCATTTTATTTTAAATACAGTTGTTAACATTTTTGTAAAAGTGAAATGATCTGATTTCAAAAATATATATTTTTAAAAGATGTCATTTTGCTAGAGAAATTTCCACCAGTGAGGGAGACTGTGGAGCAGGACTGAGGCGCAGGGCTGCATGTCCACGGACAGAGCCGCTGGCGACAGGCCTGCCTGAGGCCTCCAGCCGGCAGGGACGGTCCAGGGGCAGGACTGGCCACATGTTCACGTCTGTGCAGAGAGCTCTGAAGCGCCGGGAGCAGCCGTATGTCTGTCCCAGGAGCTGGGCGTGTGGCGTGGCTCAGCGGTGCGGGCCCCGTGCGGGGCTGGCTAACACGTCTCTCTCATTTTGCAGCGGCCAAGAGTCTGCTGAAGAAGCCGGACGGAGTGAAGGTGAGTCCTGGGTGCCGGGTGCCGCTGCAGAGCGTCCCCGGGCGTTGGTGTGGCTCCCGAGCAGCACGCTGGCTGCTGTGTAACATGATGTCACACACGGTGGCGAGCACTGATGCCATACAAGCTGCTATGGCAAGGGAGCGTCCAATTCCTGTTTCTACATTTCCACCGTGGTGACCTGGAAGCGTGGGAACCAGACCTTTCCCAGGATGTGTGCTGGGTTCCTGGAGTTCCCGCCCCCGAGGCCCAGAGGCGCTCCCGGGACGCTGGGGACAGACGTCAGACGCTTTCTGGGAGAGAGAGCAGGTCACCGCCATGTCCGCGGTTTCTGCACAAAACCCTGCCACTGACCCCGTTCCATTGGCTTCACGGCCTCCTCTGGGGACCGTGCTGATCCTCTCAGCGCTAGCCGATGTCTTTCACCCTGCCTGCCGCAGACAGCTTCCTGGGAACCCATTACTGTCCTACTGTTTGTCCTTGACCCAAAGCCATTGGAAAGGGTAACGTGGAAAGGCCAGTCGGTGTGCGTGTGCCCATCCTGCCTCACCGCCTGCCCAGGAGGATGGCGCTTCCCTCTCTCGTGGCCCAGGCTCCCCTCAGCGCCAGGTCCGGGGCCATCAGCCTTTCCCGTTAGCTCGGGTGGAGCGTGGTGGCCGCACGGCTCCGGGGGTTTACTCTCCGCGTTTCCCGAGGGCTCAGGGACTCGGCGCTCCCGGCTCCTTCTGCAGAAATGCTCCCAGCGACTACAGCTCCTCCTCAGGCTGCGCTCCGAGCTGCGTGCTTCCCGACCCCGCCGGCCACGCTTCTTTTTCCTTGCTCTCTGGCCAGTCAGTCCAGCTCAGTGTTCAGAGGGTGGTGCGGACAGCACCCAGCCCGCCGCCGAGCTGGCAGTGCCGGTCCCCGCGGGCCCCCCTGAAGGTGCTGGCGGGGGAGCAGCCGGCTCCCCGGGCGCTGCAAGGGGCTGCCCGGGACAAGGCCCAGCTGCCTCCGGAGCTGACGGGAGGAGGAGGCACTGCTGTCTGTTTACTGGTCGTAGAGAGACAGGCTTGTTTTTTCTTAATGTTCTTAGCGTGCTTGTTACTAAACTATTTTTTAAGTATTTTTATTGATTTCATAGAGGAAGGGAGAGGGAGAGAGAGACATCAATGATGAGAATCATTGATCGGCTGCCTCCTGCACGCCCCCTACTGGGGAGCGAGCCACAACCCAGGCAAGTGCCCTGACCAAGAACCGAAGGGAACCCTTCAGTCCGCAGGCCAACGCTCTATCCACCGAGCAAAACCAGCCAGGGCAAGACAGGTTATTTTTAAATGACGGCTGTGATGCTAAAATAGGGTGACTGTGGTGCAGATCGCTGTAACACCCTCGGAGTTCACATACAGTGCAGGGTGGACCATGCGGCCGTCCTGGCCGAGGACACGTTTATGAACCTGGAAGGAGAACGTGACCACCAAGAAACAGGAGCGCCTTGCCTGTGCCTCAGAGGATAATTCGTACAGCTTTAAATATCGGATTTGACGTGGCTCTTTGAAGAGAAAAAGGGCTACTTTTCCCGACTGCCAGGGTGTCCATCGGCTCGCGGGCACCGCGCCCCCGCCTGGTGCTGGACCCTCCGCAAGGCAGGCCTCCAGCGTGACTCAGAAACTCTCCTCTCGTTTTCAATTAGTCAGTATCACACTTACCGCCAGAGGTTTCCGGTAATGAAATTTCATTGGCTGATCTACCGTGACAGAGACTTTTTAAACGCAGCCTGACCCAGGACGTGAGATGGGGAGGAGGGGGCGTGTGTGCTGTGCGCAGCGTGCCCGTCTGCAGATGCCGGCAGAGGTGTGCGTAGGGGCAGCGGCACCAAGATGAGCCAGTTCTGGGCTCCCAGTGCATCGAGCCCTCTGTCCGGGGAGGCCGAGGGCTGTGTGGCCGGCACAGCTCCCAGGGGGCACTGCTGGGGCGCCTGCCCTCTGCTGTGCGTTCTGTGCCGTCTTCGGTGGACCCACTTCCTCTGGCCTCTTCCGGGATGTTGCACAACATTCACCTTAAGTTCTGTGCCTTCTGTTGAAAGAAAAGTTCCCCACCAGTTCTCCACCAAAGACAGTCTGATGTCTCAAGCTTCTCCAGCGAGAACCGGCTCCGCTCCCCATGTCCCCAGCAGGTCCCACCCGCCCGCTGGGCACGCAGGGGTGGCAGCTAGAGAAGACACGTGTGGACCTGGGTCCATGCTGAGCCCCCATCTTCCTCGGAGCTGGATGGCGTGATCTCTGGTGTAAAGCAGGCAGCTTCCCAGCAAGCCCACACCATGCCTGGGTGTGACCGCTGGCAGCTGCTGCTCGGCACGCTCTCTGCAGCGTGTGCTTGTCTTCACGCCGCGTGTGCGTCCAGACTGCACTGTGGGTGTCCTTAGGCGACAGCGGGGAGGAAACGCGTAGCGAAGGCGGTGAAGGAGATGAGCGTGCTCCTGTCGGCTCAGGCCACACTAAGTTGTCAGTGTGAGTTCAGGGGACGAGCTTAGATGGCTGCTGATTGCGGCCTTAGTCTGTGACGTTTAGGTCCGAGCTCAGCTGCAGCCTCTTGCGGCCTCTCTCTGCAGCCCTGACGATGGCGCTCAGGGCCTCCGCGGGGACAGTGGCCTGTGTGTGTGTTGGGGGTGGGAGGGAGGAGCAGGCCCGCTGTTCGCAGGGAGGGCTCCGTGGCAGCAGCAGGCGCTCCTCCCCGTGAAGAGGGAAGGAGCTCACAGTTGGAAGAGGGCAGTTGTCGTTTACAATGGAGACCCAGACTTCTCCTTGTCAGAAACGTGTTTAAAGCCTGGGTTTCACCAATGAGTTTTCTCGGAGCAAAGGGATGGGGGCTCAGGACGGTGGTCTGTGGCGAGCTGGCCCAGAGGGAGTGGACCGGAGCCAGCGGCAGAGCCGCGTGGACAGCGTGGATGAGGAGCTCGCCCGCGCCTGCTCTGGGTCCACCGCGCCCTCGGGGCGGGGCCAGCCGCGGGGACCACCGGGGACGAGGCTGGGCTCCTCCTCCGTCACCAGCGTCGCTCACGCTGAGGCACACCCTGTGTCCGCGTCGGTATCTCCACGTGGGCGCTGCAGGGAGAGCCTTTGCTGCTGGGCTCTAAGGTCTCTCTCTGTTTTCTGCGACCCACAGATAAACAGCAGAGCCGTGGTAACTAGCCCCAAAGAGAACGCCCCCGCCCCGGCGCTGGTACAGCGGCCCGCGTGCTCACTGCTCTGCCTCTGCCCTGTGCCCTGTGTACAGACTGCACACGTTTTGTTGGGCTTTGGTGTTGGTTTTGGTTTTGCTTTCTGAGATGCGGGCATGTTCATGGTTTCCTTTTCTCTTTGTTAAGGTGGTTGTCAGGCAGCGTGTGGCTAACATGACGCCTTCATTCCATGGCTGAGCGTGGCCGCTTCTCGCGGTGACATTGCATGTGCCCGCAGGGGCGGGGAATGCGCTTGGCTGCTCGCGGCGTGGCTGCGGGAGGCTCAGAGGCAGCGCTGGCGGCCGGCGCAGGGCCGGCTGCTCGCTGCAGGCGCGGCATGAGACTGCCTCCCCGCCCTGCCCGACGAAGAGGCGCTGGATTTCCAGTCTGCGCTTTGTGGACTGTCACTGAAGGTCCTTTCACTCCCCCCAGAGAAGGAAGCCCCAGCACAGCACCGGCCTGCCTTTCTGCCCCGCAGTGCGATTGGGAAACGAGTTCAGTTCTCTGAGTTTCACACTTTCTCCTGAATGGTTTCCTGTTTGGATCGATGATGATTTTCAGAAATGTCCCTGGTTCTTTACTGTCCTCTGCTGTTTTAAATGAACCCAAATGTACTCCACTTACTAGTACAGTTAAAGGACGGACGTGGAGACGGTGGGTTCCCTCCCCGACCTCAGTGCACGCAAAGGGCCCGCAGGGAGAGGGCGGCCCGGGGCTCCCAGGCTCCCTGCAGCCAGGCCAGGAGGGCGCGCACGGCAGGGACTCCTGCTGGCCAGGCGCCGTCCGCCCGGGCTGACTGGTCTCCACTTGGAAGCGTGCCCCTTTCCTGGTCGGAAGCAGTAGGAAAGACAATACCCTTTTAAAAGAGGGAAAGGGAAAGTAACACTTCCCTATGGAGAAAGCTGGACTGACTGATGCGCCCCTGTGCACGTTACTGTAGCCCATAAAGCAGAAAAGTTAACGTGTGGATGAACTAAAACGGACTCAACAGCCTGTGTCTCAAATTACTATGGTTTTATGGTTCTAGAAAGAACCCTTTAAGTAAACCCTTTTAGTGTCCCTTAGAGTTTTTCTTGAACATTTGAGATATGTTCTTTACGATAGTACTTGTTTAAGTGTAGTCCGATGGAGACTTTCCAAGGGTATGTATTTGGGTATTAATGATAGTATCCGCACCATCGTCAGTCCTGAAAACACAGCAGCTGGAAAGGGTCTTCAGCAAGAACTGCATGTCCTCCGAGTGCGGGCACTGCACCGCCAGCGCCGGCCAAGCGGCAGGCTCGTGCCGGGAGGGCTGCCTCTGAGTCTCCGGCGTCACCGGTCTGTGCACGCTGCTGCTGGGCCGGGCTGGCCCCGGAGGCCGCCCGTTCCGCCTGCCTCCGCAGCCCTGATGCCGCTCCATCGCTTCCGCTGCCCGGGTGCTGCGGGCTGCTCAGCGCTCCTGCACCGCCACAGTATACTTACCATGCGAACTGCTCTCTCTCCATTTGCTCTCACTCAGGAGCCCCAAACCACTGTGATCCACAGCCCTGATGGAAACAAGGTACGCAGAGAGGGCAGGGCGGCCTCGTGCTCCCATCACACTCCTCATCCCGCACAAAGCGACCTAGCTGCTGAAGCGGGGTAGCCTGCCCGCTGCCACCACGCTTCCTGTGGCCTGACGGACTGAGCGCTCCACCCTCTCTGGGAACAGGCAGAGAGTGGCACCCTGAGACACGGGTGCCCTTGTCACTAAACGTCTGTCAGCAGCGTCCTTCTGTCCAGATGGCTGGCCTCCGCGAGCCCAGCGCTCTTTCTGCCGCCCCCGCCCTCCTCCCCTCCGTCTCATTGCACTGACGTCTGTCTGCATGGAAGTTAGAATTTCTTGTTGTGTCATTCCTCTGTCTTCAGAGCTTGGGTTCAGGGTTAATGTTGCTTTGAGTTCATTTACTCTGTTGTTATAGTGGTTTTTCCTCGAATTCCCGGTTGGTGGTGGTGTGTTGTTTGGCATGAATTTGCAGAGAATAAGGGAGTTCGCTTGGGAAACGTTTTTATGGAAATGCATGCATGTCAGCAGCAGACGGTGACTGGTTGTGCTGAGAGGAGCCTGTGCGTGTCCGTCCGCACGGCGTCCTCGCTGCGTGGCGGGCTGTGCGCACGCCTGGGGAAGGAGACTTTCTGAGCGTGCTCTGGGCCCGGCTGGCATCCTCCCGCACGGCCGTGTTTCTGCCAAGGGAGCAACGCCGCCTCCCGCTTTCACAGGCGAGGCCCGGTCTGTCTGCTCACTGTTAGCAGCAACATGGACGTCAGAACACACTGTCTCTGGTTTAAAGTCGCGCGGGCCGACATTGAAATCGTTAGAGAAAAAACCGTAATGTGCTTCGTTCTCTGTTAGGAGCCGTATTTGTAGTCATGACACTTAAAATGGTCTAAGGCAGCGACTTCCCACCTTTCCCATCTCTGGCACCTTCGCTGGCTGCTCAGTCTGCGCAGTGCGTGGGTTCACTCCACCGCGGCGGTGTGCCGCTGTCGTCGTCTGTTCCACAGTCTGAGGGAAGCAGTCAGCGTCCCTGGCGGAACAGGCAGGCGTTGCATGTTTTCAACATCCTTGCGGCGTGCGGGTGGGAAGGCGCTGCCCTCAGTCCCTGACACCCGGAGCTGCTGAGGAGTGTCCCACGCGAGCCCAGGGTTTGCAGGGTGTCAGCCAGCAAGGCCAGTGCACGGCCGGGGCCGCTCGGTGGCTCTGCGGGTGGGGCTGCTGCATGGCTGCCTGGCTCTGTGGACGTCTGTGTGTAGTGCCTGCGCCTCCTCGCGAGCTGAAGGTGCGCCAGGCCTGGCCCCGGCAGGAGGATCTGGCTCTGGGTGGACGGAGACCCTGCACAGCTGACGGTCTTTGGTTTACATACTCGCTGTGGTCATCGTATAAGTGGACCGCTTTTTTGAATATTGAATCTCTAAAGCGGCGCTGGCTGGTGTTTTCAAAAGTTGTTCTTAGTCCCTGAGCACACAGCTGCCGAGAGGGAGTTGGTGTCCAGTTGTTTTGTTTCTGGCCTTCGGTCATTGGAGCGTCTTAGGAATGCGAGTTTCTCCGCTGGACCTGCTGGACAGAAAGGGTGCATACGCTGTGAGGAGTGGCCCCGGCAGGCACGGGCCTCGGCTGTGCTCCCAGCCCGGCCGCACTGGGCTCACAGAGCAGCTGTCTTTCGTTGTCATGACAGCCAGTGCCGCCTCAGAGTGAGAGAACCTAACTGTCCGGAGAGTCAGTGACTCGCTCTCATCCACGGTGCTGCCCGCGGCCGCTCCCGGAGGCAGTCCGGCTCTCGGCGCCCGCGCGCCTCGTGGGGCCGGAGCTCGCTCTGCAGGGTGAGACCCAGAGAGCAGGTCGTGCGGCCCTGCTCGTGCCCCCCGCCGGAGAAGGGCCGCTTCCTGGTGCTGGATGGAGGACCACGTTGTTCTGTTGTAGGTTCCGGCTCCTTAGGCTAATAGAGCCAGTTTCTCAGACACATAGAGCGAGCGCACCTGGGGCGCTGTGCTGACGGCCCTCAGTCCCGAAAGGCACGGCCTTAGGCTGTGTGCCATCGCCGCCGTCCCGCTCCGAGGTGAGGCCACGGGTGCCCCTTCCCCGTGTTTGCAGCGTTTGGCATTTCATTTCTGTGAACGCCGTAGGATGTGTCTGTCCGTTTGCATGCAGATATGCACATGCCTGCTGAGGGGTTTGCATGATGTGAGCATCACTCGCCGGTTTCCTAGGAAGAAAATAAGCCAAGCTGTTCACTGTCTGCAACGTGTGTGTTTTCCTCTCCACAGGAGTCCACGGAGAGCTCCAACACGACCATCGAGGACGAAGATGTGAAAGGTACGAGGAGGCAGGAGTGGGCGCCCCTCCGAGCTCGTGTGTGTCAGAACATGTTCGTTTTAAGTCACCAGTGCTATTAGGAATACAGAAACAGCGTCCTCTGTGTTAGCCTTCTATTGGAGTTTTGGTACATGTACAGACTTTGTCAGTCTTCCCACACGGCACTCCTTTCTGTACTCCACAGACAACAGGTGGGATCTTAGCAGGTTGTGGTGATGTTAAACTGGTAGTGACAGTTTAGAAACGTCATGCCAACTTGTGACTGGACCAGTCAGAAGGAAACACCTGTGCATGTGCTGCGTGCACCCAGGAAACCATTCCTGGGTGAGGAGGGTCTGCCGATGGCGGTGGCGGTGCTGAGTGGGCGTCGGCGGGCTTCCTGTCCTTAGTGACATAGTCCTGACTCCGCGGGGCAGCTGCCCAGGTCCTGTAGCTGAGCAGGTGTCTTCGCCACCCCTGGCACCATCTCATGCATGTGCACCCCGGAACCAGCCTCTGTCTCCCTGCTCTCTGGTCCGTGGCTGTCGCAGAGCGTTCCCCTGGGTAGCCTGGTTTGCATTGGGGTCCTGGAGACCCACGGTGTCACAGGAAGCAGAGCGGCATGGCTGGGGCAAGGCACTCAGCGGAGGGGTCCCTCGAAGTGAGAGATTTCACCGTTGGCATCAGAACAGCGGTGTCTCCATCGTCCGTGCCGTGCAGCCATGTCCTGCGGGGCCTGCAGCTGCGCTGTGCGGCGAGAGCCACGCTTCCTGCCCGTGAGCGGGACCGGAAGAGACCAGACAGTGCTGCGTGACAATGACCGTCTTGGTCTCTGGCTGGTGTCCAGATAACTCTAAAACAAGGAGTAACGTCCACGTCCACTGAAACAGTGCTCTGTGGGCCAGTCCACAGGTTTCCGTGGTGCTCGGGATATGGAATTCCTAACAAGACAGCACCGTGTGACGTACTGGGTGCACTCCAGGTCTGAGAGAAGACTGTGCTGGGTGTGGAGCAGCGGGGGAGGCTGTAAGGCTGCCTGGGGGCCCCTCCCCGGAGTGCCACCTGTTGGGACAGTTCCTTAGCGCGTGAACGAAGCCTGCCCTGGTGGTGGAGGAGGCAGCTCCCTGTCCGGGGCTGTGGAGCAGGGTTTGCCCTCGTGACAGTCACACTGTGTTTGGCACAACCGGCTGGCTGCGTGGCAGCGCCCTGGCCTGTGGCTGGTCCTCGAGGGCAGGTGCCTCTAGTGGCTGGTGACCTTCAGAGCAGAGCAGGAGATGGAAGCACTGTGCTGAGGTTTGACTTCAGTTGTGTTTTCTTTAAAAACAAATATAAAAACTCGCTGTAAGACAATGCCATGTTGCTTAGGTTGTAGTTTACATCCCGAACACCATTCACGCTGACACCTCCAAGACACGTGCCTCCATCCCCTCCCCTCCTGTCTTGTCTGTGCTGTGCACAGCGTCTGTCCAGCTGCACTGCTCTCCTGCATCCGAGTTCCTCACAGACGAGTGAGTCTACCCGGACGGGGTAGGGCCGCGTGTCTCCAACACTCCTGTCCCCATTGAACAGCGTGTCTCCTCAGCTTCGCCTCTGCCTACAGCCAGTCTCTCAGCCAGTCCTCCTGCTTGTCCTTCAGAATACACAGCTCCCACCCGCCCTTGCAGGAGTCTGCTCCAAGGTACCGCCATCTCTTCCCTCCATTTCTAACGTGACATCTCTGCCGTGGACTCTCCTACATCACCTGCCTGGTTGGAGCGTGGGCACGGGCAGTGGTCAGGGTGACCCGGGGATAGACCAGGTCAGGCGACACACTGCCTGGGCCCGCAGTGGCTGCAAAGCCCCAGGCCAGGCAGCAGGCCGCCTGGCCCCCTGCGCCGGCCCAGCCCCTGGACAGACGGCCTGGCCTCTGGTCCAGCAAAGTACAAAGTGGCTTCAGTAACTTAACTTTTTTATCTTGAGGCTCACTGAGCAGGTGACTTGTGGGTATTTCCTAAAAGCATGTCTAGTAGAAAGGTGGTGGTCCCCAAGCCTTATAGTTAAGTAGAATGTTACAGTTATTAAACCATTCCAGAGGCCAAAATAATGGCAGTGACGCTCCATGTTAACCAACAGGTCGACTTGTGAGGGTCCGGCCGCTAAGAACAGCTGCTAGTTGGCGGGAAACTGCCCGCGAGGCGAGGCTCCCGTTAAAGCACCAAAGCGTGAGAGCGGCCCTGGCTGTGGTTGCTTTTGCTGAAGCCACAGGCACCGCTCCCTCCCGGGGATGTGCAGGGAGGAGTCACGGTCCTGGCCCGTCACTCAGTGTCAGGCGAGCTCGGCAAGGCCAGAGGCATTTTAGTGCTTCGTTTAAGATGACGATTTCTGAATACGGAGTACGGAGCCGGCGCCAGGGGCTGGAGGAGCTGAGGAGCTGCTGAGCACCCCGCCTCGCAGCCCCAGCCGGCTCTGAGTGGGGAGAGAGGCCGCCTTAACCACGCTCCCTGCGCGGACAGCGAGCAGACAACCTCAGACAGGCGGGCCGGGCCCTGTGCGCCGCCCGCGGCAGAGGCACACCTTCAGGCGGAGCCCGGGTTCAGTGTGTTAGCAATCAGGGTCCTGGTAGAACACACAGCGCTCGGCAGCCAGGCAGCAGGCAAGCATACTTCCACGGAGAAGGTGTACACACGTGGTCTGGAAGGCGAGCACACGGAGCTTATCACCCTGACGCACGTGACCTGTCCTCTGCTCCAGGTGGACAGTCTTTCACGGTTGGCTAATTCAGAGGGCGGCCCCCAGGGGCGCTGCAAGCCAGGCGGCCAACATGGCGGCTGCCAAGTCACGTGGTCCAAAACGGTGGCTGTCTAACTGTTCTTTGGAGGAAAGATGACGTGTTCTTCTCACAAGTGTGAGCCGCCCGCTCACACTGGACGAGGTCCACTTGAGGCGTGAGGCCTGCTCCCTTCCTGCCGGCTCACGGCAGACCGGCTGGCTCCTGCGCCGGGTGCAGTGAGGAGCTCCCTCCACAGACCGGTGGCTCCAGAGGCCGCTGCAGCCTCCTGACACCGGGCCTCTCTGCCCTCCGCTCCCTCGAGAGGACTGGCTCACCGCGCGGCTTATCTCACTGCGCCTGTGCCGGCTGCTTGGGCCTCGCTTGTGGTGGTCCTGCCGGCCTGAGGCTGCGGCATCGCCGTCTGCTGGCACGGCGTGTCCCCAGAGGGACTCGTGTGCATAGACGGGTCTCTCCCGGCGTTTGCCGAGGCACTGGCGCGGCCAGCGCTCCGTCCTGGGTGGGAGGAGGAAGCGGTCGGTCCCCGTCAGACCTGTGAACACCTATTGGTAAACCAGCGACGTCCTGACGAAAGGGCTTGTCGCCACGTGCTGGCCAGAGAGGTGCCGGGCGCCGGCTGGATGCCAGCGACAGGGCGGGGGAGCCGGTCCGTCCCGGGCCTGCTGTGCTGGCACGCTCCCAGGTGGTATGGGGGACAGCTGTGAGCCTCTGGGAGGACTCGCAGGCTCCATGGAAAATGGGGGTCAAGGTGAGTGAGGGAGGAGAGCTGTGCTGACCCTGGATGGCGTGGGGACGTCTGCAGTCGGTGTGAGCAGGAGGCGCTGGAGCCTGACGGCCGGCTCCTCGGATAATCACGCAGTAGCTCCTGGAGGTGACTGCTCCGCGGGGCCCACGGGAGGTCAGCGGCCGACTTCTCCCTGCGCTGCTGGTCAGTGTGGGGCAGCTCGGCCTTGCCCGTCACCGGAGGCCTGTGAGCATGGGGCAGGGGCAGCTGCAGGGCTCAGAGAGGGACGAGCCGTAGCAACCAGGACACGGGGTGGCGGAACGGAGTCTGGGAGGCCCACGGGGAGCCCACATGGAGGAGGAGCCGGCCTTGGGGCCTTGCGGGGGTGGGGCCCCTGCTTTAGCACAGGTTCTGCGGAGTTCCGGGGTTTCAGGGCAACAGAGAGCGGCAGCCTTCAGGGTGCTGTCAGAGCCAGAGCCGACCCAGCCTCAGAGGGTCCCTGCACTGGTCACGTGGGACAGGAGGGCCCGGGAGGCAGCGGCTGTGCTGCCAGGGGGCTCAGACGAGGCCGGTGGCGGTGTGTGCAGGAAAGTCCCAGGTGGAACTCCAGCCACGCCAGCTGTTAGCGTGCAGGGTGGGCTGGGCGAAGGTCCTGCACGGGGCAGCGTGGACGCCCATGATGACCGTGTGAGCAGTGGCCCCGGCCCTGAGCCGTGCGGTCAGTTCCCTGAAGGCCCCTCAGGGCACGGGGCTCTGGTGGCTTCCTTGTGCGGAGCGGGAGCGCAAACGCTGTGGGTGGGTCTGAGCATTGACCTATGAACCAGGGGGTCAGGGTTCAATCCTGGAGGTCAGGGTACATGCCCAGGCTGAGCATTGACCTGTGAACCAGGAGGTCAGGGTTCATGCCTGGCTTGCTGGCTCTCCCCCTGTGGGGCGTGCAGGGGGCAGCCGATCAGTGTTTCTCATCACTGATAATTCTCTCTCTTTCTCCCTCGTCCTTCCTCTCTCTGAAATAAAAGCATTTTTAAGCCTAAAATTGGAAATAAACCTGGTACTGAGCTACGTTCATTTTAATAAAAAATAAGAACAGAACCTGGGCCTCCGGGCGCTGTGCACAAGCAGCAGGGCGTGGCCGCCTGGGGGCGCAGCCCTGACTGCGGTCCTGGGTGGCCGAGAAGGCCCCAAGTGAGGAGCCAGGTCGGTGGCCGCTGCTGAGCCGTGTGAGGGGAGACGGCTGCCTGGGGCTGTCCGCTGTGGCGCCGGAGGGAGGAAGGCCGGGAGGGGGGTGCGGGGGGAGGGTGCCTGGGCCTCGTTCTCACCGGCCTGTCCCTTTGCCTTTAGCTCGGAAGCAGGAGATCATCAAGGTCACAGAGCAGCTGATCGAGGCCATCAACAACGGGGACTTCGAGGCGTACACGTGAGTGCGGGCCGGGGCTGGGCCGTGTGCGGGCGGGCGGGCGTCCTCAGGGCCCGGGCTCATGTCCGCAGCAGCCTTCCTGGCGTTTCCGTGCCCAGGAGTCCGGTAGGCGCGTCAGCGTTTCAGGAGAGGAGGACTTCTGAGAGGAATGGGGTTCTCAGTGAGCTCCACCCCTCCAGGCAAAACAGGCAGGAAGCAGAGAGGACAAGGGCACTCAACATGTCCTTGCAGTTCCGCAGGGTCGCCAGGGAGAGGGGTGCAGGGCTGAGGGGCGCGGGGAGAGGAGCACAGGGGAGAGGGGCATGGGGAGAGGGGTGTCAGCAATGTCAAGCAGCCTCCAGCTTCAGCAGCTCCGCCTGACTGTGAGGTGAAAACTGGTCTCAGCTCCCTCTGCCCCGGCTGCTCCCCCTGCCCCGGCTGCTCCCCCTGCCCCGGCTGCTCCCTCTGCCCTGGCTGCTCTCTCTGCCCCGGCTGCTCCCTCTGCCCTGGCTGCTCCCCCTGCCCCGGCTGCTCCCCCTGCCCCGGCTGCTCCCTCTGCCCCGGCTGCTTCCCCTGCCCCGGCTGCTCCCCCTGCCCCGGCTGCTCCCTCTGCCCCGGCTGCTTCCCCTGCCCCGACTGCTCCCCCTGCCCCGGCTGGACCCCCTGCCCCGGCTGCTCCCTGGCAGCAGAGAGGGTCTGACTGTGGTTGGGCCGCCTCGGTAAAGCAGAGGGAGTGGCCGCCGTGAGGAGATGACTGGCTGGCTGCCTGAACGGGAAATGGAGGCAGACAGCAGCAGGAGGGCGTAGCGAGCAGAAGCTCCCGGGCGGTGCTGAGCGTAAGAGCCGCCCTTGGCTGAAGCGCATTGGCTGCCGTGGGAGGAGACGGTTAGGCAGTCCCTCACCGGAGGCTGAGGATTCCACCACAAGTGTGTCACCTGGCCCTGGGCTTTGCGTCTGAAATGTGGACAAGACCCCGAGCCCCCGAGACATGTGTTGAAGCGACGTTCCTAACAGATGGAAACACCTGTCATCGCAGCCGCAGACGGGCAGAGAGATGGTGGTCTGACGGCCCATGCAGTCACTGAAGGTCAAGCGGGATGTGAGCGTGTTTCCAGAACATTCCAGTGGCATCAGCATAATGGAGAGAAAACGAGAGATTGTTTTTAAAAAGGAAAAAGCTAGGCTGCTTTTGGGGGAACAAATTGGGGATTCCCACTTTTTCCCGAATTCGATGTGAGGAGTTATTTCCCTAAGCATCGGCTACACTGGGCGGCACCTGTAGACAGTGACAGCGTGAGTCTGAATAAGGCCGGCACTGCTCCCCACGTTACATGTGTGCTGGTGCAGACATGCACATATGCGTTTGTGCAGACTGCTCTACAGGGTGTGTGTGCTGGTGTATATGTGCACATGTGTGGACTGTTCCCCAGATTACGTGTGTGTGCTAGTACAAGCCTCAGCTCCAGATGTGGCCCGGAGTGACACCTGCCCCCGCGCTCCTGCTGGTAGACGTCGCACCAGGTGCCCTTCCAGACAAAGCCGCTTCCTGCTCAGCTCCAAGTGCACGCATGTCCCCTGTGGGACAGGAGTATGCTCCCTTGGGCACGGCCAGGCAGAGTGGCAAGCGGGACTCCCTGCTTCTCCATTCAAAGGGCGTTTCCAGCGATACGCTCTCTCGGAGACCCTCAGTCCTGGTGCCCTGGCCTGTGGTGGCCTGGCTGCGCCCTCTCTCGTGAGCCATCCGCCTGAGACCCTGTCCCGAGCACGCACCCACAGGCCACATGCAGCTTCCTGAGCCGTGTCTTAATGCAGAGTGCTACGGGAGGGACACGTATGTGCATCGTGCATGAGAGAACGGATGAACAGGTTTTCAGATGGATGGAGCCTCGAAGGCTGGCTGAGGGGTTGTCATAGCGAGTGGTCTCAGTGAGCGTGCGGTGGGCGAGGAGGAGCTCGGCTCCCCGGTGCTGACAGCCACGTCATCTCTGGAGGAACCCTAGCCCCGCACAAGCCTGTGGTCACCATGGCAACACTGTGCTTCCCATGGCTCCTTAGAAAGAGGCTGGATGTGTTGGCGTTGAGCTTGACACCACCAGCCCACCGGAGTCTCAGGCAAAGCCCACGCCCCTCCCACGCCCCTTCCAGGCTTTCTGACCACGGAGCAGCCACCATGACGCTCCATCTATAACTACATCCTCGGCGTTCTTACCCTCAGCCCCGCGTCCTGCGAACGGGCTGCAGAGCGCAGTGCGTCTGCCTGTGATGTGGGAGTTCTGTTGGCAGTGAAAGCGTCCTCCCGCCCCAGGGGGGACTTGCCCTGTGGAATCTGTGTGCCGACCCAGCAGAACACGGATTAGTCCAGAACCCTTCTGTTGCGGCTTCCGTCTCCCGTGTGAACGTCCATGAATTCTTCACGCCCAGAGCTTGTGTCACTCCCTGGGATGCCCTCCGATCCCGGAGCTGCTTCCCGCGTGCCCCGGGGACTTCTGCACACCCAGCGATGCTCCAGCAGGCCACCCGCGCCCCAGGCCCACTGCGTTTCAGCTCTGCCAGCCACCCCCTGCCTGCCCACGCCCTCCAGGAAAACTGCCCAGACGGAAGAGCCAGCTCCAGCTCCTTCCTCTCCTCAGTCTGTCCGTCTCGTGTGCTAGTGGCCTGCTCATGGAGACTGCTTATTCCGCTTTCAGGTTCATTGCTGTGCTCTCATCGCTTGTTTAGCACAGTACCTGCCACATGATGGGTGTTAAAAGAAAGCCATTGGCTCTCTGAAGACGTATTTAAACAGGGCAGTGCTTTGTTGAATCGGACTTCTAGGATTAAAAGGAAAACTGTGCATTTGAACCACTCATTAACTCCATGTTGAAAGTTAAACTTTAAGCAGAGGATGCCTAAGCTTGTGAGCATTGCAGGAAGTGTGGGATGTGACAGCTGCTTTCACGGCGGTCAGACAGACAGTGTGTCACTATGGAGAAGGGGTAACAAGTCGCCCAAACGTGTTCCTTTCAGAGCCAGAGCGGGCTTGGTGGGCCAGGGCAGCGTGTGCACACAATCCCTTAGAGCTGGAGCAGCTGCGGAGGCGGGAAGGCGCCTGCTGGACCCCGTGCCAGTCTGCCCGTCACGTGGGGGCTGCTCGGGGTTAGAGTTGTGTCTTTTAGACTCTTCTCACGGACTTGGGTGAACCAGAATGGATATGTGTGAAACAACAAGATACGGGAATTCTTTCATTGATAATTTTCATTGTTTTGTGGTTTTTTTCTTACAGAAAAATCTGTGACCCGGGCCTCACTGCCTTTGAGCCGGAAGCTCTGGGCAACTTGGTAGAAGGGATGGACTTCCATCGGTTCTACTTTGAAAATGGTACAGTCATCCTACACCCATGACATAACTTTCCCCCCGATCTTGCACTTTCTCCCGTTTGCAGGTTATTTGGCTCCTTTATGCAATGAGTATTTTCAGTATTTCAAATTGAAAAAATTGAAAGGGTTCCCTGGCTGGTGTGACTCAGTAGACTGAGAGTCATCCCATGTACCAAGAGGTCACAGTTTGACTCCTGGTCAGGGCACTTGCTCAAGTTCCAGGTTCGATCCCCAGTGGGGAGGCAGCCAGTGGATGTTGATGTTTCTCTCCCATCAATGTTTCTCTCTCTCCTTCTCCCCCCCCCCCTCAAAATAAATAAATAACATTAAAACATTGACAGGGTTAAAAGTGTTAGTGTGTTTTGAAAAGTACCAGGTTTTGTATAAAAAGTAATGCTGATTGAATACACCCGTATAAGCCCCAGTAAAGGTGTGATATAGGCAGCAAAGTGAATTCTCCAAAAATGCATTATTTCAAGTTTTCATAAAACATTGTTCATATGAAAAAGCAAAGAAGCTGACAGTCAGAGAGCAGCCCAGCCCCCCGGTGCTCCCGTCAGAGCAAAGGCCAGTGGCCTGAGGCCGCAGGTGAAGGCTTTGTGGTCTCCGAGACCACGCTCAGAGCAGTGACAGAAACGCCTCCCCGGACGTGGGCGGCTCTGGCGAGCTGCGTGAGGGCCCGCCCGCAGGCTCAGCCTGTGGAGGGAACGCCTTGACTGGTCACTGGCTTCCCAAGACTCCGAGGTGGCCTCCCCTCTGCCCCAGCTCCAGGGGAGGGAGCGGGTCTGGCCAGCAACGCCTGCCTGACCAGCACGCTCCACACGGTGCCCTCCGTGCCCGCCGACCTCCGTGGGCACGGCTGGTCTGGCGCCAGCTCGTGCATCCCCCCAAGCCCGGGAGCAGGTTTGCCCAAGAGTCAGATGGCTCACCCTGCTGGGGGCCTGTGAGGACCTGCGCCCTCTGCTCGGACCTCCACGCTAGTCCTCCTGGCAGCACCGCCAGTGCAGCCTTGGCTGCTCCCTGGTGGGCAGCTGGGGCCTGGGTGGGCATGCTGAGTGAAGGGCCTCCATGACTGTTCCACAGCTCCCACCCGGCAAAGACGGAGCCTGCCCTGCCTGTCAGTCTGTGACCACTTCCCGTCACAGACACGTCTCCATTCTCCTGCCGACCCACGTGTCCCGCGGCCCTGCCTCCGAGGCCCTGCTTCTCTAGGAAGCCCGCGGATCGGAGGAAGGAGTGGCTTTCGCTTGCTGATGCGCTGAAGGGCGGGTGGTTCTGCACATGGGAGCTGAGTGCTCTTTCCTCTCTGCAGCTCTGTCCAAAGGCAGCAAGCCCGTCCACACGATCCTCCTGAACCCGCATGTGCACCTGCTGGGCGAGGACGCGGCCTGCATCGCCTACATCCGACTCACCCAGTACACGGACGGCGGCGGCAAGCCCCGCACCATGCAGTCAGAGGAGACGCGCGTGTGGCACCGCCGGGACGGCAAGTGGCAGAACGTGCACTTCCATCGCTCGGGGTCCCCTACGGTGCCCACCGAGTAAGTGTCCCCCAAGTAAGTGTCCCCGTGGTGCCCACCGAGTAAGTGTCCCCCAAGTAAGTGTCCCCGCGGTGCCCACCGAGTAAGTGTCCCCCAAGTAAGTGTCCCCGCGGTGCCCACCGAGTAAGTGTCCCCCAAGTAAGTGTCCCCGCGGTGCCCACCGAGTAAGTGTCCCCCAAGTAAGTGTCCCCGTGGTGCCCACCGAGTAAGTGTCCCCCAAGTAAGTATCCCTGCGGTGCCCACTGAATGAGTGTCCTCCAAGTAAGTGTCCGCACTGTGCCCACTGAGTAAGTGTCCCCCAAGTAAGTGTCCCCTAGGTGCCCACTGTTAACGAAAAAAAACATTGAAACCTGTAAAGAATTTTTGTGAGTTTATTTGAGCCAAAGTGTCCACATATGACGGGAAGCAGAGCCTCAATGGATTGAGATAATGCTCCGAAGAATGGCGGGTTACATTTCTCTATTTATACACTGAAATCAAAGGAGGGACATAGGTGGGTTACGTGAAATTCATGGGTGATGGAGTAAGGAGGCGGGAGAAAGCAAAGCGGTGGGAAACCCCTGGGATTGGATAAAAAGTAAAATGATGCCAAAACTGGTTTAGCTCAGTGGATAGAGCATCGGTCTGCGGACTGAAAGGTCCCAGGTTCGATTCTGGTCAAGAGCATGTACCTTGGTTGTGGGCACATCCCTGGAAGGGGGTGTGCAGGAGGCAGCTGGTCGGTGTTTCTCTCTCATCGATGTTTCTAGCTCTCTATCCCTCTCCCTTCCTCTCTGTAAAAAATCAATAAAATATATTAAAAAAATAATAAAATAAAATGATGGACACACACTTAGGTGAGTACAGGAACAATTAACATGATAAAGAAGGAATTTGAGGCATCTGTCCTGGCGCCCACCACAGGGGCTCCAGATAAAGGGAAGTAACAAGTTACCCAGACATCTCACAGATATGTTATCTTAGAGGCAAAAGGCAAATGGGCTCAGTGATGAAGATCGAAGTTGATCTTTGGGAAAATATCGGCCTAGGACATGACTACCCACTATAACCTGTTTGTAGTTAAAATATTTAATTTTCAAACCATCTTTTGTGGTTATTTTAGGTCTCTGAGTTTGCAAGACTGCCATGCAGGCCTCCTCTGAGCTTATCAGGTTAGCATGTGGGTCTTTTCTTTCACACCACCGAGTAAGTGTCCCCCAAGTAAGTGTCCCCGCGGCGCCCACCGAGTAAGTGTCCCCCAAGTTAGTGTCCCCGCGGCGCCCACCGAGTAAGTGTCCCCCAAGTAAGTGTCCCCGCGGCGCCCACCGAGTAAGTGTCCCCCAAGTAAGTGTCCCCGCGGCGCCCACCGAGTAAGTGTCCCCCAAGTTAGTGTCCTCCGGCGCCCACCGAGTAAGTGTCCCCCAAGTTAGTGTCCCCGCGGCGCCCACCGAGTAAGTGTCCCCCAAGTTAGTGTCCTCCGGCGCCCACCGAGTAAGTGTCCCCCAAGTTAGTGTCCTCCGGCGCCCACCGAGTAAGTGTCCCCCAAGTAAGTGTCCCTGCGGCGCCCACCGAGTAAGTGTCCCCCAAGTTAGTGTCCCCGTGGCGCCCACCGAGTAAGTGTCCCCCAAGTAAGTGTCCCTGCGGCGCCCACCGAGTAAGTGTCCCCCAAGTAAGTGTCCCCGCGGCGCCCACCGAGTAAGTGTCCCCCAAGTAAGTGTCCCTGCGGCGCCCACCGAGTAAGTGTCCCCCAAGTTAGTGTCCCCGCGGCGCCCACCGAGTAAGTGTCCCCCAAGTTAGTGTCCCCCGGCACCCACCGAGTAAGTGTCCCCCAAGTTAGTGTCCCCGCGGCGCCCACCGAGTAAGTGTCCCCCAGTAAGTGTCCCCGCGGCGCCCACCGAGTAAGTGTCCCCCAGTAAGTGTCCCCGCGGCGCCCACCGAGTGTCCCAGCCGCCAGGCTGTCACTCAGGCGCTGCTCCCAGAGGGCAGCACACGTGGGAGTGGGTAAAAGCCAGGAGTGTCCAGTTCTCCGGAGGCGGGCCCATGGGTCCGGTGTGGGCTGACCGCGCAGCGCCTCCCTGTAGGGCCAGGCGGAAACCAGGGCGCCTCGGGCTGGGCTGTGAGTACCACTCGGGCCGTGTGGGAGGACGGCTGACGTCACTGACGCACGGGCAGTGGGGGTGAGGGGGGGATCGGAGCCCTCTAAAGTGTCAGTGTCACCTCGGGTGCCTCAGCCCAAGGCCACCCACCAGCTGGTCACAGACGTCATTCACTGACTTCTTACTTTGTTATCTTTTCTATTTAGATCAGTTGGGGTGACATTCACCATGAACATACAGGTTTCAGGTGTGAGTTTCTGTGTGACAAGATCGGTGCGTTGCACCGTGTGTCCACCACCCAGAGTCACATTTCTCTGTCACCTCACATTAGGCCCTTCTCCCCCAGCCTCTTCCCTCTTGCAACCCCCACTGTTCGTGCTGACTGTTCCCGAGTTTCAGTTTTATAACCCACGTGTGAGTGGAGTCACATGGCTCTTAGCCTTTTCTGGCTGATGTTTTCACCAGCACAGTGTTCTCAAGGTCCCTCCATGGCACTATTTCGTCCTTCCTGGTGGCTGAGTAGTATTCCATTGTGTGTATGGACCACGTCCTCTGTGTCTGGTCCTCTGCCACAGGACACTGTGGTTGTTGCCATGTCTTAGCCACCGTGAATAATGCTGCAAGGAACACAGGGGGCATATATCTTTGTGATACATGATTTCGAGTTTTTTGGGTACATACCCAGAGAGGGACTGCTGGGTGGTATGGTAGCTTTATTCTTAATTTTCTGAGGAATCGCCAGACTGCTTTCCATAGTGGCTGTAGCCGTCTATATTCTCACCAGCAGGCAGTGAGGTGAGAATATTTTCTCCACACCCTCTCCAGCACGTGCCATTGCTTGTCTTATTGATAATGGCCACTCTAACAGATGTGAGGTGGTATATCATTGTAGTTTTGATTTTCGCTTCCCTAATTGCCAATGAGGTTGAATATCTTTTTATATACCAGTGACCTAGTGCATGAAATTCGTGCACGGGTTCCCTCAGCCCAGCCTGCACCCTCTCCCATTGGGGACCCCTTGGGGGATGTCCAACTGCCGGTTTAGGCCCAATCCCACAGGCCTAAACCAGCAGTTGGACATCCCTCTCACAATCTGGGACTGTTGGCTCCTAACCACCCACCTGCCTGTCTGCCTGCCTAATTGACCCTAACTGCTTCTGCCTACTTGATCACCCCTACCTGCCCTCCCCTGCCAACCTGATCTCACCCCCAACTGACCTCTATGCCTTGGCCACCACCACCGTGGATTTGTCTGGAAGGAAATCAGATGTCTGGGATATGGCTGGTCGACTCGATATATGTAATTAGCATATTACTCTTTTTGGTAGTATAGATAGATTATATAGGATAGGATTGCTTATCAGGAGATCCTCTTGGCAAAAATATATAATCCCTATATATGGACTAATAGCCAGTCATATGCACTATACTGCCAAACCAGTAATTAAAAAATTGAACCACTTTCTTATACCTTACACCAAACAACTGTTGCCCTTAAAACCCTTCCTCAGCCTCCACCTTAGGTTCTGCCTTTTCAGTTCACCCAGATTAGGTTCTGATTGGTCAGTTTCTATGCCAGTCAGCATCAAAAGCTCACTTTCTAGGCAGCCATTGGCTCCTCACACTTCACCCAGATTTGGTTCTGATTGGTTAGTATCTATGCCATTCAGTGTCTTTGAGCCTATCTCCAGGCCTGATCAGAGACGGGACTGATGAGCAGCCCCCGTGGAGGCCTGGAGAGAAAAGAGGCAAGGGCTGATCAACAGCTGCCACTGAGGCTACAGATCAGACCCTGCTTCTCTCCCAGGCCTCTCTTCAGGCCTGATCCGCAGCCCCCTCTGCAGTCAGTGCTGGGTCGCTGCACCCTCAGCAGCAGCAGTCAGAGTGCTGGGTTGCCATGGCTGCCTCCAGGACTGACTTCCAGTTGGTGGAGCCTTTGTTCGTTACGTTTTTATATATTAGGACTGGATATTCATATTTCTTAGAGGAGGTGTGTTTTCAGGTCCTCTGCCTACTGTTGGAGTGGGTCGCTTGTTTGGTGTTGAGTTTTATGAGTTCTGTATATTTTGATCAAACCTTTGTGGGAGCTACTGTTGCAAATATCATCTCCCACCTGGTTGGCCTCTGTTTTTTCGTCAGTTACTTCTGTGCAGCTTTTTATGTTGATAAAGTTCCATTAATTTGTCTTTGCCTGTACTTCCCTGGCCTTTGGGGTCAAGTTCATAAAATGTTCTCTACAATCCATTTGGTACCTATATTTTCACCTGTGTAACTTATTGTTTCAGGCTTTATATTTAGGTCTTTGATCCATTTTGAATTAATTTTTTAATGTTTTTACTTATTTCAGAGAGAAGGGAGAGGGAGCTAGAAACGTCAATAATGAGAGAGAATCATTGATTGGCTGCCACACACACACACACACACACACACACACCACCAGGGAATGAGCCTGCAACTCTGGCATGTGCCTTGATGGAAGTCGAACCAGGCATGACTTCCTGGTTCATGGGTCAACCTGAGCCAGACAAGCCGGGCTTGAATTAACTTGTACATGGGGACAAACTGCAATCCAGTTTCATTCGTTTGCATGTGGCTTTCCAGTTTTCTCAGCACCATTTATTGAAGAGACCATGTTTACTCCATTGTGTTTTTGGCTGCTTTGGTGAAAATTATCTGCCCATGTGCCTGTGGTTTTATATCTGTTCCATTGGTCTGTGAGTCTGTTTCTCAGCCAATGCCATGCTTTTTTGATTATCTACATAAATTATCTACATATATTATCTACAAAATATACTACTCTGTAGTATAATTTGAAGCTGATACCTCCAGCTTCTTTCTTTTTTTCTCAGGGTTGCTTTGGCTGTTCGGGGTCTTTTGTGGTTCCATACAAATCTGATGATTCCTCATTCTATTTCTTTAAAAACGGACATTGGGATTTTGACAAGGAATGCACTAAATCTGCATATTGCTTTGGGTAATACGGCCATTTTAACTGGTTGATTCTTCCAACCCTTCCTTGAGCACAAAATATTTTTCCATTATGCTCTGTCTTTTTTAATCTCTTAATAATGCTTTGTAATTTTTTGTATATAAGTCTGTCATGTTCTTTATTAAGTTTATTCCTAGGTATTCTTTTGGTTGCAATTGCCAAAGGAATTGTTTTGTTTTTGTGGCATGTCTTTTTCTGGAGTTTCGTTATTAGTGTAGAGTAGGGGTGTCTAACTCAATCAGAGAAGGGGCCAAAATCTAAAATCCAGCCTAAATCGCGGGCCGAATGGTTTACTGAACAGTCATAAACTGTCATTGTGATGGAAACGCAGCGGAGTGCAGTGATGACAGCGCGGTGCGGGCCACATTGCAAGGCCTGGCGGGACGGATTTGGCCCGCGGGCCTTGTGTTTGACACATGTGGTGTAGAGGAAGGCAGTGGGTTTGCACAATGATTTTTGTATCCCACAGCTTGACTGTGTTTGTTGTTTCTGGTTTTGGTGGAGTCTTGGGATTTTCTCTGCAGCATCATGACGTCCGCACAGGCGGGCAGAGGGACACGGAGGAGCCGGCAGTGCGTGGACCCGGGCTGGGTGGAGGGCTGCAGTGGAGGGCCTGATGGGAGCAGGGCTGATGAGAAGCGAGAGGGTGTCTCTGTGCAGGTGTGGCCTCTCCTGATCTCAGCGGTTCTCTCGCCAGGTTCACCCCTTACTGTCTAGGGGGAGGGGTGAAGGTCACACAGCGCACACTCACTCACCCCAGAGATTCGCCCCGTCCAGACCTCGCCAGGTGCACGGGGATGAGGCTGGGTCTGTCAAAAGTGCATCCACAGGGAGAAACGAGAAGTGGACCTTCAGTCTAAAGACCATGCTGTGCACAAGGAATGTCACAATCATGAGAAACCCAAAGAGGGACGGGACAGATGGCCGTCCACGTGCAGAGGGCAGCGTCCTACAGGCCGAGGCGCCCCGTCCTAGTGTCCCCGAGCCGCTGTGCCGAGGCCGTTAGCGCGGCCTCTCGCCCACTCCTGTCCCTCGCGAAGCACTTCCTGGTGGCCAGCCTCTCGGGCGCGCACCCCGTGTCCTGTGAGCGCCACTGCCTGGCCGGACCGGGCGCCCAGAGCTGTGTGGCCGCTCCCGAGTTTTCCCCGCGTGACGCGCAGTGGGGAGCGTGCAGGGCTGCGGCTGCGGCAGCAGCACCGCCTCCTGCAGGCCTGGGCCTGGGCTGCCAGCTCCGGGGCCTCAGTCATGCAGACAGGCCGCCTGCCGCTCTGGGGCCTCGGTGCCCTCCTGGCTCCCAGAGCTGGGCTTGCTGGGCTGGCGCACCTCACCCCGAACGGGCGAGGCTGCCGTTAGACGGGCCTTCTCTCCCCCGGGCGGGAGCCAGGGGCACTGTATCCTGTCCGTTCCCGGTGGCCTGCTCCTTCCTCACTCGCTGCTCCCTGTGTGGAGCCTGGCCGCACTCGCAGCTCTGCCCGTGCTGACGGCTCCATGGGTGTGGTCTCTGGCACACGGTGTGGGTCTCATGACGGCCGCTCCCTCTAGGCAGACCTCAGCGGGCTCGGCCCCGGAGGCCGTGGCTAACTTCTCCCCTTCCTCCTGGCAGCTAAGCACCGTGCCACGCCGGCCTCGTGTCTCCGCCCCGGACGACGCCCTGGCGCCTGCGGAGGCGGGAGGCGGCCGGCCTGCGCCGCCCCGCCATCGCCCTGCTGTCCATGTGTGCCGCGGACAGCCCCCGGAGGCCGCCCAGGCCCGAGGACCGCCTGCTCCTCGCCTGCTCCTGCCAAGACGCCGCGGCCCTCGTCCGGACGCGTGCCCGCGAACGTTCCCTCCACTGCGGTCCCCGCTCCGGTGTTTGACAGAACGGCCAGACCCTGTTCCTGGCGGGTCCGGGCAGCTCCGGGACCGCTGGCTGACCTTTCTGTCCCTCCGATCTGCTCTGCTTTCTCTCGTTTCCCATTTCTAATTTTCCCATCCCCCTCCGCTTTGCTGCCGCTGTGTGAGAAGTGGGTGTGTGCAACCAAAGGGAAATGGAGCTTCCCACCTTCAGGGCCGCCCGGGCGGGCCGTCCTCACAGCGCTCCGAACTTGGGGTGACTGCGCTTCTCGGGGTCTCGGTCACACTCTGGGGGCTCCCTCCCGGGCCCCGGGCAGGGCTGGTGTGGGCCCGCCCTCCGTCCGCTGTCCGTGTCTGCCGCCCGCTGCATGCCCGCGTGGTCCGCCCCGCGCCCCCCCCCCGCAGGAGCAGTGCCCGCCGCCCGCCCTCCCGGTGCCCTCCACGCGCACGTGTCAGTCAGTGAGCGCCTCGAGCTGTGAAGTGGCCGCTCCTCCCTGTGCCCCCTGCGCGCTGCACGGGGCACGCTGCCTGCAGGGCACGCGGGCTCGCGCTCCGTGCGGGAGCACCGCCGCTGCCCAGGCCCTGCGCACGCTCGCCGTGCGGCCGACGTGTTTAAGTTAATAAACCTGTGGTTTCTGCTGGCGGCGCGTCGACTCCCTTCTTAGGAACGGGCTCTGGCGCCGTGTGCCCGCGGGGCGCAGCGTGAACTCGTCCCTAGGCGAGGTGCTGGGAGCGGAGGGTCCCGCCCAGCCGGCGGACCGGACCTCGATCTCAGTGCTCAGCTGCACCCTCCCGCCGGTTGGTTACCTGTGTGTCCAGACCATCCTCCCCGCAGCCCAGGCTCCCCTCCACCACCAGCTCCCAGTCCTCGTGGTCTCCACCCTCCCCAGCCTCGTCCCCTCCGTGGGCGCATGGGGGGAGAGGGGAGGGGCTGGGAGGGGGGAGGGGGAGGGGCTGGGAGGGTGGGGAGGGGAGAGGAAGGGGCTGGGAGGGGGGAGGGAGAGGGGCTGGGAGGGGGGAGGGAGAGGGGCTGGGAGGGAGGGGAGGGAGAGGGAGAGGGACTGGGAGGGGGGAAGGGGAGGGGCTGGGTGGGGGGGAGAGGGGCTGGGAGGGAGGGGGGAAGGGGAGGGGCTGGGAGGGGGGAGGGGAGGGGGGAGGGAGAGGGGCTGGGGGGGAGAGGGGCTAGGAGCGGGGAGGGGGAGTTGCAGCTGAGGGGGGGCTGGGGGAGGGGAGGGGAGGGCAGAGGGCGCACCCTGGTGGCCGCCGTGGGGAACTGGAGCTGCAGGAGGCCAGGCCTTGAGTGGCCCCTCTGCCCTGGTCAGGGAGCGAGAGCACAGGCCGGGGCGGGAGGCTCTGAGCGGGCGGTGCGGGGGCTGTGGGAGGGCTGGGAGGGCCTCCCAGGGAGGACGGAGGGAGGAGCCGAGTCCGGCAGGCCCGAGGGGCCCAGGCTGTGGTCTATGGCCTGCGAGCACTCGGCGGGGGGAGGGGGGGGCCCACACAGCCCCGCAGGCCATGGAGGCGGTGCCGGCTCCCACTCCCTGGGCCCTAAGGCCCCGTCATCATGAACAGGTTTTGACAAAACAAAAGCCACAGAAAGGAGCTTGAAGCCAGCCTGGTTGCTCGCTGAAGGCGGCTCAGGCCGGGTCCACCTCACTGAACTGCCCAGTGGAGTCCTGAGCGGCCGAGGCCTGTCAGAGCTGTCACTGTCTCCATGGCGACAGGCCGCCCGCACCTGTGTCGCTCCCACGGGTGTGGCCGGCACGGCCCCGCCGGAGGCCACACTGGCTGCTGCCACCCCCCTCCTCAGCCCGCCGAGACCCCTTTCCCCAGGCCCCGCACTGGGTCCTGCTGTTCCCAATGGGAACCCAGGGGCCTGTGCTTGGCTGCGGCCCCCCAGGGCCCCCCGCGCCCCAGGCAGGTGGGCCGGAGCCCGCGGACAGCTGTCATGTCACCCCATCCGCACCAGAGCCGGCCCCTCCCTCCCTCCGGAGCCTCGCCCAGCGTGGACCCCGCTTCTCTGGGGTCTCACCTTTGTGCCCGCCTCCCGCCAGCGCAGGAGGAAGCCGCTCTGGGGCCTCCCTGGGCCTGTGCTTCCCCTCGGGGTCTGCCCTGAGGAGCCGCGGGCAGTTATGCACCAGCCGGGGGAGCGCGGGACCCTGCTCCCTCCTGTCCGCGGCGCGGCCGCCGGCCACACCGTGAACAGGCCTGCCCTCCCTCCTCTCGCCGCCTTCCCCTCCTCAGCACACACTTCCTTTCAGAATGAACCAGGGCCCCGCCGTGACCCGCCGTGTCCGGGGGTGTGCGGGACGAGGGCCACACGAGGCTCCCGCTGGGCGGGTGGCCCTGCCTTCGCCTCGCCCTCCCCAGGGGCCGCGCCGGCAGCCGGTGGCTCGGCCGGGCGGGCCTGGGGGCCGGCCCGAGGGGCTGACTCGGAAGGACGAGGCCCTGGCGGCCCTCTGGTTCTGGTTCTCTGTGGCACAGCCGGCAGGGCATCCGGAGGGGGAGGCCGGCAGGGCATCCGGAGGGGGAGGCCGGCAGGGCATCCGGAGGGGGAGGCCGGCAGGGCACCCGGAGGGGGAGGCCGGCAGGGCATCCGGAGGGGGAGGCCGGCAGGGCATCCGGAGGGGGAGGCCGGCAGGGCATCCGGAGGGGGAGGCCGGCAGGGCATCCGGAGGGGGAGGCCGGCAGGGCATCCGGGGGGGGAGGCCGGCAGGGCATCCGGAGGGGGAGGCCGGCAGGGCATCCGGAGGGGGAGGCCGGCAGGGCATCCGGAGAGGGAGGCCAGGCCGGCAGGGCATCCGGAGAGGGAGGCCGGCAGGGCATCCGGAGGGGGAGGCCGGCAGGGCATCCGGAGGGGGGGGCCGGCGGGGCATCCGGAGGGGGGGGCCGGCAGGGCATCCGGAGGGGGAGGCCGGCAGGGCATCCGGAGGGGGAGGCCGGCAGGGCATCCGGAGAGGGAGGCCAGGCCGGCAGGGCATCCGGAGGGGGAGGCCAGGCCGGCAGGGCATCCGGAGGGGGAGGCCGGCAGGGCATCCGGAGGGGGAGGCCAGGCCGGCAGGGCATCCGGAGGGGGAGGCCAGGCCGGCAGGGCATCCGGAGAGGGAGGCCGGCAGGGCATCCGGAGGGGGAGGCCAGGCCGGCAGGGCATCCGGAGGGGGAGGCCGGCAGGGCATCCGGAGGGGGAGGCCAGGCCGGCAGGGCATCCGGAGGGGGAGGCCAGGCCGGCAGGGCATCCGGAGAGGGAGGCCGGCAGGGCATCCGGAGGGGGAGGCCAGGCCGGCAGGGCATCCGGAGAGGGAGGCCGGCAGGGCATCCGGAGGGGGAGGCCAGGCCGGCAGGGCATCCGGAGGGGGAGGCCGGCAGAGCATCCGGAGGGGGAGGCCAGGCCGGCAGGGCATCCGGAGGGGGAGGCCGGCAGGGCATCCGGAGAGGGAGGCCAGGCCGGCAGGGCATCCGGAGGGGGAGGCCAGGCCGGCAGGGCATCCGGAGGGGGAGGCCGGCAGGGCATCCGGAGGGGGAGGCCGGCAGGGCATCCGGAGGGGGAGGCCGGCAGGGCATCCGGAGGGGGAGGCCGGCAGGGCCCACAGACTGACGCAGGTTTGGCCGCTGCGGAGGCCGAGCGGGGCCCGGGGCTCGGTCCAGGGCTGGGGCCGGGCAGCGGCAGCCGGATCCTCCTGTTGCCGGAGGGGCAGCTCTGTTCTGGTCACGGTGACTGATTGGGTGAGGCCGCCAGCATTGGGCGGGCTCTGCTGCTCTCCGCACCAATCAATGCTCCTCACGTCCAGCACCTCACGTAGCCAGAGGGACACCCGCCCGCCAAAGCCCACGGCCGGCCCGGCCAGGCGACAGCACAGCCTCGCTGGTGTCCGCGGTGACAGGGCGGAAAGCTGGGTGCCTCCTGTCCAAGCCCCGAGGGAGGAGCAGCGGCTGATGGCATCCACGCCAGTGGCCAATCTCAGGAGAAGGAAATCCCAAGAAATAGAACCCCTCCTGCGACTGTAAGACTGGAATGAAAGCCAAGACTGGTTTGGCTCAGTGGATAGAGCATCGGCTTGGGGACTGAAAGGTCCCAGGTTCGATTCCAATCAAGGGCATGTACCTTGGTTGCGGGCACATCCCCAGTAGGGGGTGTGCAGGAGGCAACTGATTGATGATTCTCTCTCATCGATGTTTCTGACTCTGTATCCCTCTCTCTTCCTCTCTGTGAAAAATCAATAAAATATTAAAAACAAAAAACAAAAAACTTAAAGCTGATCACATCACTCCCCTTCCTAAAAAAAAAAAAAATGGAATGAAAAAGGGTTCATAGCCGAGACCAGTTTGGCTCAATGGATAGAGTGTCGGCTTGGGGACTGAAGGGTCCCGGGTTCGATTCCGGTCAAGGGCATGTACCTTGGTTGCGGGCATGTCCCCAGTGGGGGATGTGCAAGAGGCAGCTGATCGACGACTCTCTCATTGATGTTTCTTACTCTCTATCTCTCTCCCTTCCTCTCTGTACAAAATCAATAAAATATATTTTAAAAAAAAAAAAAAAAGGTTCATAAAACCGAGGGACCATTTCTCAGTTCAGTCTCAGGACACATTCCACTCCAACGTAATTGGCAACGGCCTGGCTGGCGTGGCTCAGTGGCTGAGCATTGACCTTGAACCAGGAGGTCAAGGTCAGGGCACACGCCCGGATTGCAGGCTTGATCCCCCATGTGCAATGACTATCATTGATGTCTCCATCTCTCCTTCTCCCTTTCTGAAGTCAATTTAAAATTACTGGGCCGCCTCATAAAGGTATCCATGACATTTCTTCACACTTTGTTCTTGCAAACCAGCCAGGTGTCTCCACCCCTGGATAACGGGGTGCAGTCCCCGGGCCTGGGTGGGGACCCGCCCTCAGCACCAGACCTCCAGGAGCCACGCAGGCTGGGCCCGCACTCCGGGACGCATGTCCACAGCCCCTGACGGGCTCAGCCTCCCTCTGCCCCCAAGCACCTGGGCCTGGAGGACTGGGCTGCCAGCGAATGGCCTAGGTGTCTCCAGCCCTCCCTCCCCTCCCCTGCCCTTCTCTCCCCTCTTCCCCTCCCCTGCCCTGCCCTGCCCTGCCCTCCCCTCTTCCCCTCCTCTCCTCTCCTCTCATTTCCCTCATCCCCTCCCTCCTCTCCCCTCCCCTTCCCAGGCCTCCTCCCCACCGGGACCTGAACTAAACATGAGCTCCGTCCCTGCAGATGGACAGCGGGGCGGGGGCGGGGGGAGGCAGCCCGGACCGCAGGAGGGAAGGGGCTGCGCAGGAGTCTGACCTGCAGACCTGGCTCCCCATCTCCTAGTGGGAGGTCCGCTGGGCTGTGGCTGCTGGAGCCCCCGCCCTGGGACCCTCAGGAAGCGTCCCGGCCCAGCCCCGTGCGAGGGAGAGCACCCCGCTCCCTCCGGTCGCCCCGACTCCCTCAGGCAGGCCTGGTGCCCCAGCGCCCCCCGGGCCCTCCCGGGCAGGGAGAGGACGGAGAGGCGGGTGCAGACCAGGCTGGACAGCCCTCTGGCTCCCCGCTCCTCAGCCTCCCCCAGCGACTCCTGTTCCCCAGGCTCACCTGCCCTGGTGGGTTAGCTCCCTTCTCCGGGGGCCTGTCCCTTCTCCGGGGGCCTGTCCGCGCTCCG